ACCACTTAAGACCTTCACAAGACCACTTAAGACCTTCACAAGACCACTTAAGACCTTCACAAGACCACTTATGACCTTCACAAGACCACACAAGACCTCCAGTCTGAATTCAAGCCACAATCTATTCACATGAACTGCAACAAAAGCATTTCTTTGTCAGTGCCCACCCTGTTACTTGTGACTGGTCTTGTGCATGGTCTCGACAACGTGTAAATGCTAAGCTAGATTCTGGAGTAATGTTCTTTGCTCATCTGATTTGAAATGTTGCCAACTGGCTTTCTGGATAGCACTTTCATCGAGTGTAACATTGCTTTCAGTAATTTGGTAGGACAAATAACTATTAACTGGGTCGCATTTATGGTTGAAAATGCAAAATTTTCTACTGACTGACATAATGTAAGACAGAAAATCTTCGTCAAAGGAGGCATGAATTTTTTCTTTATGAAACAGCGTGAAGATTTCAAAAAGTACTTCTGGTCTTTAAGCCAGTCAAAATTTCAGTGCTCGGGTTACCAGCTGAAATACTAGGGAGCGTGAATGGCATTTAACCGGTTCTCGCAGAAATCTAAAAATAAACAAATCATCGGGTAAATATTCTTGAGTAATAAATACTTCAAAATGGCCCCTTTGAAATTTACATCACATCAGGTGAAGTGTGCTTCCAACTAGATTTTCAAAAGCCATGAGAATTTCACCTGCGCCTCTTAGATTCTACTTCCAAAATCTAAACAAATGCGAAACCTTTCAACAAGCTGGATCCATTTTTTTCCCAAATAACTGTAGTAAGAAAAATCCCTCGGAGAGGCTAAATCTACAGATTACGACCATTACAAACAACGAATATAAATATCACTATTTCACTTTAAACATTTGACTGCACTGACAAATTCTAATTGACGTGGGTCCCCCAACAGAGTGACAAGATCAGACATTTTCTTGTGAAAAGATACCGTTTGACTTTCGTGAATCCCGGTTTTAAAATGTAATGTAGAGATGAACGTGTACTCATGTCCAAATCCAACACTGATCATAAGTTTGAAGAGACTATGACTGCTGTGTACCCGTTAACTACTGAAGAAACGCTGTGCACGATTTTCTGATGTTCACTGCTGGTCCTTTCTGAAATACCTGGTGCATCTGTGTAACACTCAAAGACTTCAAGTCACTGCTTTACTGATGATCCTCGATCTGGTAACAGAAACACAAAGAGAGATGACACACTTTCGCTCAGAAATATGTAACACGTCAGCATAAAACAGCAGGAAAGTGCACAGATATCCACCAATAGTGCTCAAGGTGCTTCATCATTTTACCCCTGCTCACCAGGCTTACAAAGAGCCCTCTCAGGTTCCTAAGCAGTGTATAGCTTAGTGCTGCCTTGTGCACATGAGCTCATCACACAACAACCACATCTGCCCTCAGAGGTACCCATTGGTCAGTTGGTACCCATCGGTAGAGAAAGGCCAGTGGGAGGAAAGTGACTTGCCCATGGACACAACATGCAACCACCAGCTGGATTCGAACCTCCCAACTCCAAGTTTGGGAGTTACAATCCATAGCCACTAGGCTGCCCGCCTCCGAGGTAAAAAGATTAAATGGACACAAAAGTGCACTTCCAAGGACTGCCTGTTTATAAGTTGATTCAGTACTGTTGGGCGTGATTGACTAATCTGCATGACTGTCCCACCCCTGTGCACGATTGGTTGATTCTCCACAAAATCTCACATCTTAACGTCCCTCTTTTGAAACAATCTTCCACAACCATGACTTAGAAAAAACAGGCGATTGGCTCATGATGGAATAAGTGACAAATCGTGCAGTAAAATCGACCGATTGCACAGAAATTGAGTGATCATGCCCAACATTTCCATCCCCTTGGATTGAGGATTCTGCCTTTATCAGTTCTCCATTTTTAAAGCATTTAAGCAGGCCTATGGGTTTGGAGCAGGGTACCAGTGATGCTTCTAATTTCCAACTTGTACCTGCAGAGTTAGATGATAGTGCAACCCTTCTTTTCCTTGAATGGGTTACCAGTCAAATACACACCAGTCAACAGGGCATCGTTGTTGGCATTGTTCAGACAGAATTGTTGCAAGCTGACAAACAAAAACAACAAAAATCAGATGTCAACAACAATCAAATTGATGCTGCCATTCCAATAATAGGCGTATCTGGAGACCACAGTAACACTATGGAAATGATAACTGGTTACCGATCAATGGCAGTAAGTATTACGACACTTGCATGGACATGACCAGATGACAGAGCCAGTGATAAACTCCATACAACAACCAGCACAATTTTTCCATCATGAAAGGGGGCCATTGTATTGAGGGCCATTTCGAGTGTGTCCTGAAATTAGGAAACAGTCATGCCTGTCATGTCTCTGAGAGTGATACCTGTCATACCTGTTTTCACAAACACCAACTTGACCATTAACCATGTTGACAATGACATTGACATAAGCTGACAAGAACATGAAGAAACATCCCCCTTTGGCAAATGTCGTCACAATTAGGCAAACTGCTGAAATAGGCCTATCCCTACATGTACATGTACCGTTTAGGGCTTTAAACACAAACACACATTACAACATGAACTTGTGATGAAGTGACAAAGACGTTCGGTCATTAACTCTTGCCACTCTGACTCAGTGATTGATCATGTTGATTATGAAGACAAATCACGATCAATTATTCCTATCAAAACTCACTCTTCAGCTGCTTGTGAGACCTTCATACGGTCCACCGCAGCTTCTCTCCTCAGCTGCTCAACTGTCTTCCTCATTGTCACCTCGCTGCTCATTTTTAAAGATTTTTCGGACAAGACCTCCCAATCTCTGAGAGCGAAAAAAGGAGGAACAAAAATGGCGATTAATGAAGTAGTCGCAAGCTCCAGCCGGTAGTTCGTTTTGTTCTAAGCCTAATCTAAAATCCATTTGTGAAATTATTTGAAGGACGCTGTGCAATAATTTTTCGTCCATTTTTGTTCTTATTAAAAAAGGGAAAAGAAATAATTTAAAAAGTCCAGTTGAATTCTTAAAACGGATACAACTGAATACTAGCATCTGCATTCATTGTTACTACCTTTTTTCAATCGCGTCTGATGTAAAGACTACATGAAAAAAAGACTGGCTCTGCTCCTGTTCATTTCGTACATGCTTTACAGCTGTACAGAATCAGGTACCTGATAAAATTAATTAGGCTCTTTATCGACGACTGTTGTATGTACATTTATCCTTTAAATGGGGTTTTCATAAAACAGTTACATTGCAATTAATTACCGTTGCTAGGGGAGGGCGCCATCACAACTGGCGCACCGCACGCGCCGGCCTTGTTGTACATGTACGTACGTACGTTCTACGTGATGTGCAGACGCCAGAGATTTTTGGTGAGAAGTTTTACACGTGACAGTGTCACAGTGTAGGCCAAGCATTTGTTGTGGAAATTCGCGAAAACATTGTCACTCAAAAGGGACCATCATTGCTATTCAGGAACAACTTTAAGCTCAAGGCCTACCACAAGCTTACAAAGAAAGTGTTTGGTAAGAAACCAAAACATGGTTTGCCAATTTCCATGTTTGACGACGGTTACGACTAACTGGGGAGTGAGGATAGGGGTCCCACGTCACTCCTACTCACTCCTCGTTCACTTGGACTTGGTAGGCCTGTTACGCCCCAACTGTAGTGTCGGACACTCCCAACTAGTGCTGCAGTTGGGCTGGCCCAATTGGGGGCCAGTCTCCGGCGCGTGGCAAATTTTTCAATCTTCTCCAAATTTATGCAGGTCATTCCTGACACTGTAATTCATGTAGGCGAGGGCCTACAAATGTACAATATACGGCACTTAATCTGTATAACATTTGTTTTTAAAAGCAGAAATTGGTGATGTTAACAAAATGACTTTGGCACATGCAAAAAATGTGCACACTTAACACGCACAGGGGTGTTGCTGAACTTCTGTCATTCTGTAGCACTAGTAGGCCTAACCCCATTGGTAGTGTGGCACGGACTCTCACACCCGCTCCATCCTTAGCCTACATCCATATACGCAATTTTGTGTTGGCATACTGAAAATTTTTGGCGCACCTACATGTACTTATCATCGTGGGCGCAATTTCTTTTGGACACAGAGATGATCCTTACCCTCTCTACTTTCTTAGCGCTATGTATTGAATGATTTCACTCACATTGTTATGGTATTTTCCAGTCTTTTTGCCTTCACCCATTCAATCTCACAGACTCGCTCTCACGGTCGCCATCTTTAAAATAAGGTCGTTGAACATTACGTCACTTGACCCCTCATCGTCTTGACAGCTGTTCCGTGTCAAGATATATCTAATACACAGACTTTGTACGCATCCAAGAAAGGGGAGTAAAGATGCTCAGTATTGTACATGCGTGTATGTGGGCCTAGCATGCTTAGGCAGTCATCATCAGAAGTGAACAAACTTGCAGAAAATTGTGTCTGAGAAAAGTTCATTGCAGCTTCACTTTTAATAAAATGATTATTTCCACGGTGTACATTGGTGTATCCACACACATAACCCCTGAATTTACCTCTTTCCTGGATGTTTAAAATTAGGCCTGTTAGTTATCCCACCGATTTTATTTAACATAGATTTCTTTTTCTTCATGTAATTTTGTGGTAGCTTCGGTAAAAAAAATTGAAGTTCAGAAAAGGTTGAACCCAAGGAGAACACAGCAACAAGATGCCGGTGATTGTTGAGCTAGCAGATGACCCCATAGCGACAAAAGACGACCCGAGGTCAGAGGTTGCAACCCAGGAGGAGCCGCCGCCCCTGGGTGATCATCCACTCAATCAGCCTGCCGATGTTTCCCCGCAGAAGGTAATTTCAGCATTCACGCTTCATTATTTTATTGTAAATTTAAGCTGCTTTTAACTGGTAACATTGAGATAGAGGGTGGTTCATGGAAATAGAATGGAGCGTCTGTATTGATTTGTGAAGATCAAAATAAATAAAACAGTGGTTGTTGATCATTTTTACTTTTCTTTCATCAAAGTTCTTGTCCCGATTTTTTTGGCGGTAGAAATGGATGACAAATGAGCCCGTCTTCATCACGGAGAGCACGGAAGATGATTCAAAGGATGCGGGCGATGCCACAAAGCCACAGCCTCCGGATGCTGAGACGGATCGTAAGGAGAAAGTGAAGGAGGTGGAGATGGAAGGAAACGAACAGAAGAAAGAGGAAAACGAGTATCCACGGTAACGGCTTACCAGCATCCTCATATTTCAGTCAAGGAGGTCTCTTTGAGACAGATTTGAAAAGTGTTGCCCATTTCAATGAACTCATTCTGATTTTTCAAGTCCTTTTTTTGGTCAGGGATTGATAACATCTGAAGCATTTCCATACAGAGAAAAGAAACTCATTCAACAGAATTGCATAGTTAACTTAAATCATATTTACTCAAGTTTTCGGTTTGACATTGAATGACCCAGTTCGGTATTTCATAAAAGCACCTTCTTTCGGGATCATGGCATGCGCGTGAGTCGGCGTATGGCTGCTCTGGTGGGACAGACTGCTGTGCGTGAGGTCTCAGTTGCCACTGTTCTTGAATGACTCACGCTCGCTGCAGTTTGGGAGTGCGCTGTTGGAAGACCGAACTGACTCAGTGAAATGTTCTAGTCAAACAGTGTCGTTCCTAATCATCTAACAGAATAACCGATTAGTCATATATGTAAGTCGTCAATCTTCAAGGGAACAACTTTAAATATCTGTAAAATTATGTTTGTTTGACAGAATTACAGAGAAATCTCTCAAAGACCACTGTAAACAACATAAACTATACCGAACTCCAGAACTAAATGACGTCCTCTACTTGCATTATAAAGGTAAGATTACATAACAGCAGTCAGGCAGTGTAAATACTTGTATGTAAGTGTAAGACGTTAACAACTACAAGGCCTAAGTCAGCAAAGAACAGTTACTTGTTGAAGCAAAGGTGTCCGCTCCGAGCGGAACAGAAGAGGGCGTGTTTTTTTGGTACTCACCACATAAGCGCGCCATGAGGCACGTTTGACGCGGCGCACGTTGAGTACGCGTTACTAATTTATTCCGGCATGTATGGTCTTTGCGTACACGCAGAACACGTGCAGGAACCCTCTTCTAACCACATGTCTTTCTTTCGCCACTTGGGGGTGCACTGCAGGTAGGGGCGGCCAGTGTACAACTGCGTGATTTGCCATTAGCAGAGCTGCTCTTTGTGTACGGCATTATACTTTGGATCAGTGTGAAATACTAGCAGACTAGGGCACGAGTTGGCCGCAGAATGTCTGAAAACAGGAGCTTCGTACTCATATGACCTGTCACCACAAACTGAACTGAAAGTCAGAGTTTTCAAAAGTTGAGATATTGGTATATTTGAATTCAGCAAAAGAGAGCTTTCCAATGGTGTGTATTTGGAACGCTTAGAGTAAAAGTATGAGGTAACAATGTGACATTATTTATTTTATTTTTTATTATTTTTATTATATTTTATTATTTATTTTATTTATTTGTCCGCAACATTGTGTCAACGCTTCTGACAAGTCACGAACAATGCTATCGTCAAAATTACTTAGAACATGACATTTTTAAATATCTGATCCTGCAAAATATTTGTAATTAAATAGGAGACAGATTTTACTCTTTTCAAATATTACAGTACCCACTTCAATAAGAGTTAAACCCTCCAAATAGAAAAGAGCAGAATGCGAAGTTACGCTCATTTTGTTGTGACGGGTCACAAATCTCACTCCGGTTTGTGGCTGGTTAGAAATTAAATTATTTCCCACCCAGGCTTGCTTTCTAATCATGTAGTTTTCAGTTTTTCTCTTTGGAAGGACAGACTTTATTTTTGACTTTTTTTAAAGAAAGAATATATCATCAAGGATATGCAATCTTTTGGATCTGTGGCCTCTACCAAATGTCAAAGAACGTCTTGGTCATAACGCGCCTTCATCTATGCCTACGGTTTCAGGATACCACAAGATTGAGAACTTGGACAAGTACACGGGCTTGAGGGCGCTCTACCTGGAGTGCAACGGAATCCGCCTCATCGAGAACCTGGACAACCAGACGGAGATGCGCTGTTTGTACCTCCAGCAGAACCTGATCAAGTCCATCCAGAACCTGGAGCCTATGCAGAAACTCGACACCTTGAATTTGAGTAACAACCAAATAGACCGACTTCAGAACCTTGGTACGTGTGCATACCGTCTGTTCTTTTGAAGTCACAGTCCAGTGTTAAAATCCCCCTGTCTGTCGGAACACCTGAAGATACAACCCTATTTAAAATCAATGGGACAGGCATTTATTTTGAACGAATTTGAGGTGAAATCGAAAACCAACCAAAAAGTGATATTTCTGCAAACTTTGGCTGCTGATACAAGTTGTAGACAAATGAGAGTGGTCAATATCTATTCCCTGCTGTAACTTTTACGATGGGCAAAATAGAAATCTTCAGCTTGGCTTCTACAGCTGAATTGAAATGAACCAGCCAGCAGACCCCCATCAAGCTTGGTTGTTGGTCGTTAAGACGGCTGCTTTAGTAAGCGGGAGGTTGTGGGTTCAAATCCAACCCGAGTAGACTGGTGAATTTTATCGCACGTCCTCAAATAATACCAAGCCTAGCATTTTATAAATCTCTGTTGACTTTAATAGGAAAAACTCGCAGTATAAAATGAACATCTCCCCAAGGCAAAAATGCCACATTTAAATACCATTTTAGTTTCCATTAGATTATTAACAAACCAAGATCTTCGTATTGATGTATCACTCGATTTGACGCCATGTTAAAAATTGACATTAGTTAAGTGGAAATGAGGGATTCTATCAATTATATTGTGCAATATTCAACTTAAAGTGGTGGCATTGGGTCATTTAGCTTGGTATACAAATATTTGAGGAGTTCCATGTGAAATTTATCTCAAGTTGTGATTTGATGCAGGAAAGACCAAGATGTTAAAATCAGAAATCCCCAATTTCAAAAATGCACACTTTTGTTCCTTAATTTCCAAAAGCTTGCCTCCCAAAGCTGAACACTCTGAACATCGCTCACAATCGGCTCACCACCGCCGACGATATCAGGGAATTGGCCGAGTGCCATAACTTGAGCGTCGTGGACTTGTCTCACAATCGACTCAACGACCCCAAGATAGTGGATGTCTTTGCAGCGATGAAGACCTGTGTAAGTCAACTGATTTCATCCCGTCTGTGGTAATGTGTGAACATGATCTCGTCATCTAAATCTGCGGGGGGTAGCAGTGTGGGTAAAAGACAATAGTGGAGTTGTGCTCGTGAATCTCTTAGGACAGGTTTAACTTTTTCGTTATTTTTCTTGCCTTAGCATTCATTGGGAACCAATCAACGATCAAGAAATAGTTTGCCCTGTCCCGGCGTTTGTAAACATGCATGCTATGTATGTGCAGATTTCAGCTGTGTAGTGTGCCGATTGAGCACGCTAATCAGATAGGAGCTTTGAAGCTTTTCATGGTGGAGGGTGCGAGTTAGTCGTAGAGGTTTGCGGTAGCACCATGCAAGGATGTCTCTTTCTGAGCACGTGTGGTTCTGAAGAGAAGCGGATGGTACTCAACATTTCGGACAGTATGCTCTGTCCGTCATCAGGAGACTACCTGACGATGACAGACAGAGCAAACCGTCCTTGCAAGGTGCTCTCGCAAATCTCTATAACTATCTGATCAGAAATGCAATGCTGTGATACTTCAGGCCTGCACCCGATGACCATTATCAAACGGGACGCCATCTTTAATTGGGAGATACTAATATTAACACAAACGGTGTACTTTACAGAAAAAGAGAATCTCTCATTGATGCAATATCCTCAAGACGTTAGTGGTGCAAGGAAGTGAAAAAAAAACTGTTGTGCAAACCAATGCAGCAATTGCTATCGATCACTGACATCTTGAACCAAGACTAACTCACCCCTCACAGACATACGTGCAATTAATGTTTCAATTTTTGTTATAATCCTGCCCTAGCGGGTGTTGAACCTAATGGGGAATCCAGTGGTAAAGACGATCCAGAACTATCGGAAGACGCTCATCCTAAAACTGGTAAGACAATAACGTGTGATTAGAATCGGAAGAAAAAACGAGGTGTCCGAAGTGTGGAACACCAAACGATATGTTGTGGGACGTTTGTCCTAGGGTCAGGGACTCGAATCCCATTTAAAAAGTACAGAAATCCAATCCAACTTGAAAAGGTCTTCATCATCCAAATAATTTCTGGTTCAATTTTTCCCCCCAGACTAACTTGACGTACCTGGACGATAGACCGGTTTTTCCAAGGGAAAGAGCGTGCACCGAAGCCTGGTATTAAGTGATATTGATCTGTCACTCCTCAGTTTTTGCTTTGAAATCAATAATTTAATGCATGTGTGACCCGTCACGTCAAAATGAGAATAAAGTCACATCCTGCTCTTTTGCATTTTGAGAGTTCGAAGTCGGATATTGAGGTGGAAGTCAATTTTTTAGTTTTGTAAAACATGTGTTTTGAAAGAGTAACCTGTCTTTTATTCAATTCCAAATATTTTGCAGGATCATTTATTTAAAAAGGTCATTTTCTCAGCGAAAAAAAGAGGTCAAGTCCTAAGTCTCAACTCGCTTTTCTCAAGTCTGAAATCCTAAGGGCTTTGGTTCCAAGCTTCGAGTCCTACTTTTTAAAACTTAATTCAGACTTCACCAAATCCCAACTTCCTCCTTTTTAATTCTTTGTCATCAAATATGAACTTTAAAATGCTTAATCTGAAATGTGAAAACTTTTCGCGTATTGAAATTATAAAGTTTACATATCTTTGCCAGTCATACTCCTCCAAGATGAAGTACTTATTTTAAACCCCAGCCCTCAATTCCAAAGTATCAAGTCCCAAGTCTCAAATCTCACAAACCACAAGTCGCGTCACGTCTCGAGCGGCAATTCAAATCATTTCATTGGACCGCTGGTTGTGTTACACTCTGCCATTTTGCGTCAGGTTCCGAGGCGGCCGGGAAGCAGAGAAGGAGGAACGAGAACGCTGGATTAACAAAGAGAGAGCGAGAATCCAGGCCAGCGTAGACGGTGAGCCAGTTATCTACTTCCAATTCTTCCAATTTCTTGCCTTTACACAGCTTACAAAATCTGCATTCATTTTTTCCCCATGGAAGTCCATTATTAATCAGTTTATCCTGTTACATTGTAAACCTGTAGCCATTTTCTGGAGGGTGAAAAATGTAGCCAGGTTTGATATACAACATGGTTTGCAGGTGGACTGTTGATATCAGATCCCTGAGGTACTGGACGTTGACAAACTTGTTCCCAAGGCAAAGCCGGAAGGAGGTGGTTTATCAGCTTCCAACACTGAGGGGAATTAATGCCAACGGCGGCGGAATGATTTCCAAAGTTGGGAGGGGGAGTTGTTAGACCATCAGCCATTTGTAGGTCGATCCATTAAGCCCCACCCCCTTTATAGGCCCTGTAATGTAAGGGCATCATTCACATCGCTCGCCAACTTGTACACGGATATGCCCTGTCACCTTTTCATGCACCATGGTTAGCAAGAGCAATGCTCTCGCATTCTTCACAAGGGCGATAGTCAAACTGAACTGTCCCTGGGGGACACATTTGAATCGGATCCTCATCTGCGGACTCTGCACTTTGGGCAAACGGTAACCCTGGCGAGTGGCACAGGGTGGCGAAAGGACCAATTAGAATGTGGGTCTTGATTATGAATATGTATTAGGAATGGTCGTAGCAATTATCGCTCATGCATTGGCTCATAATGTAGAAAATACACGTAGACATTAAGGCAAGAAATGTGAACCTATGAATTTAAGAACCACAAAATAATTCTCCAGAGTTTGCATTTGTGGTGTCCCATTTTGTTTATGTAGAAAAGTGTTCGTGGTGTCTTGTCATATAAAAACGTCAAGATTTTCTGCCAAACACTAGACCATACCTAGGGCTGGCTCATTGTGAAGAAGTAAAAATCCGAGGCTAATGTTTCACGTCATTCCCACAGATGTTCTGCGGAATTTCATTAGAACAGGCTAAAATAGAGCCAGATACTCTTATTTCCAAAAAAAGAAATTAGTCGATGTCTGTCAATTTGAATAAGTCCTCTTCCGAATACCCAAAACTTGACAGCACTGACTCAAATCCGCAAGCGTGCTCAAGCCTCCCGCGCAGAGAAAGAAGAAGCCGAAAAGAACAGAGGCATGACCCCAGAACCAGTCACTACGCCCCCCGCAGACGAACACCTCTTCACGTTTGATGTCAACAAGGGGCCCCCCACTGGTCAGCAGGCAAAGACGGGAATGCTGATTGAGGAGTTGTCATCAAGAGGTGAGCATTGCTTGAGCCATTGATATCAAGATCAACCTTTATTTTAAAATTTTGTTGTTGGTCGTCCAGTGCAGAGGTCATCTTTGGTTTCAAATTTTAGTTTCCTTTTTTTTTTCAAACAAAAGCCACAAAATGTTTTGATGGCTATAGACCTTAAGGTTTTCACTGTGGCTTGATTTCCGTCAAGAGATATTCACATTCCAATTAATTCCACCAAAGTAACTCAGTATCCTAATTGACTCCCACAATTCAGGGAATAGTTACAGAGATCAACAGACAAGCTCTGGCTTCAGCACAGAGTTGGTGAGTGAGGAAGACGTGGAGACCATAGATCTGCCCAAGGAAGAGAAAATCAACATCGATGTGAGTTTTGTCTCAGAATTGAAAGTACGCTTCATCATTTTCAGTTGGGCATTATATATGGTCTTTTGGGGAGACAGAATTACTCAAAATCCACAAAATGGAGCTTGGTGAAGATTCAGCCTAGTGGATGTTGTGTACTCAGAGACCCTGTGGCTAGCCTTGTGACAAAACTTGTGCCTGGTCTTGTAACTGGTCTTGTGACTGGTCTTGTGACTGGTCTTCTGACTAGCCTTGTGTCTGGTCATGTGTATTCTCTTGTGTCTGGTCTTGTGACTTGCCTTGTGCATGGTCTTGTGACTGATCTTTTGCCGTGTCTTGTGACTGGTCTTATGACTGATCTCTGTGTCAAGTCTTGTGTTTGGTCTTGTGACTGGCCTTGTGGCTGGTTTTGTGTCGGGACTTGTGACTGGTCTTGTGCCTTGTGTCTTATTAGTTAGTTTTCCACGGTAATTTGACGTTGTACTTGTTTCTGAAAAAATGCAAATTAAAAATATATTCAAGCTTAACCAGATCCTGCCGGGGAGCCCTGTGTCGGGTACCTTGGGTTTGTACGCGTAACTGGAGTGCCCTCAATCAGACAAAAGAGCTGTGGGTCTTGTAGCAAGAGATTGTACTCTGAACAAAAGACCGAGCTGCTGGGAATTGCCAACATTTTTTAGTTATCAGCAGTGGAGGAAATCTGTCATTGTTTTGATGAGCCCACTATTTGTTACATTCAGTGTGAGCGGATTACCACCGGGGACAAAAAAGCTCCAGTGATGAACGATACAATACCGCAGCACGCTAATCTGGCCCCTATTGAAAAGACACCAGCAGCAACTGTGCTAGTTTTGGGAACAAAAGAAACTTCTGTAACATCACACAATCCTGGCTCTTTTTACAAGGCGGCAGGCCTGGCTGAAAGACTTGGACATCAATAAATGTTGTCTGTCAGATTAGCCACCAGACAGTCATTCCAGGGGGTTTATGCATGCAGGAAAAAAAGATGAGAATTTATGAAGATTTTTGAAAACGGAAGATATTGAAAAATCTCCCGTACGTAGACATTGCATTTTTAAAAACACCTGGCAGGAAATGGTTAAAACCTAAATCATGGGCTGAAAGTTCATCTATTATTAACACAAGAAGTTTCATCAATAATGTCATTTAAATCCACCCGCAAGCTTGGAAAGATCTGTCATCTTTAAAAAAGAGTCACCATTGTTATATTAAGCTTGGACAAGGAACAATTTTGTTTGTCTGATACTAGGCCGCTTGTATTTGTTTGTTCGTTGATTTTTGTGCAGGATCTGCCTGATCTTGAGGATTTTGATACGACAGACGACACCATCCAAACAGCTCCGAGGAAAATGCTCATTGAGGAAATTTCATCCGATGAATCGACCAATGGCACTGCTCTGATTTCCGAAATTGGGCAATCACACGGTGATTCTAAAAACACCAGCCAATCAGACTCTGCACTGCTCCAGTGTGAAGAGCCCGATGACCAATCACATCCCTTGGTTGAAAAACTTGGCCAATCAGGGCACAAGTCCAGCCCCCTCATTCTTGAAATCAACCAATCAGAAACAGCCCCACCCGGAATGGACCAATCAGAGGGTGGAGATTCATCAACATCATCCAGAAGAGCCAATCAGGGCTCACTGATCGAGGAACTAAAGGAGTATGGGGCTCGCATTCCCAACAGTTGGCACGTTCTTGACAATGAGACGGCAAAGAGTGAACAAGAACATGACAAACCCGAAGGTAGGAAAAGAAAAGGTATAAAAGCTGTTTTTATAGCAAAAAATTAATTTGTGAAACTTTAGTTATTAAATAACTGGCCTGCCTCACTGTGACTGTCTCACCGCACCCAAAATCCTGCAGTAATTTGGCATTTTGGTGATGTTTGGGCCAGGCGCATATATGGAGCCAGGAACAACCTTGTTCCCCGAGGCTGGTTGATATCTTAAGGGGAGTACCAAGATGAAAGGAATTTGACATCACGAAACATTTGCTACGAAATTTTCTGAAGTTGAATTGTATTCGACCATTACAAATTTACAGCTTCAATATTTGATCTGATTTCAAAATTTTGTTCATTTTCTCACCAAGTACGAACCGGTCTTCTGTTTCACTGACCTTCTGGTTAACAAGTAATATTCGCTCAAAAAAATCTCCTTTTCATACTTGGTGCTGGTGCAGGCGGTTCTACAGGGAACAAGACAGGAGAGAAATCCCTCGAGGAGAAGATCTGGGATCTGGCTGCCAATGCGGGATCGACGGTAGGCAGGCCGGACCCGACGCTGCCATAAGTTGCCACGGTTACCGATTACATCACCGGAAAAGACCCAATTACCCTTAACATTACCAAGGGACTGAAGGTATTGTATTCATTGTCAAGGTCATGTGTCTCGCCCCAGTTGCAAAAGACAGATCAGAAGTTGAGATATGAACTAACAAGACAGTTCCCGTGGAATGCTGTAACTTGCCGTATCTATGCTCCAGAAACTTGATACCTCAGTTAGTGATGCGGGAGATATCCACGACACGTCACTTTGTGGTGCAGCCGACGAACTGTCCTGATTTGTACACAGCAGAACGGCTGACAACTAACAGCATAGTTAACGGTAGAATACAGCATCGGTAATCCACAGGCCTTGGACTCCAATCCTGTTTCCAATTACCCATGTTTTGGACGAGTCTGAATTCCCAGTTGGCCTGGCTATTGGCAATTCTTGTTTGTTGTATCTCAGTTTGTGCGTTATATTCGTCTCAAAAAGTTGCATTTCTGTTCCCACTGTAACATTCCTGTCTGGAACGAGTAGTGTTCTTTGGTAGACTTCTGAGATGGTCCCCTACATGTTACTCACTTGAGTTTCATGATGAATTATACTTGTACAATACTGTACTCATTGAAATGTGTGTTTTTGCTGTTATTTTTCCAAAGTAGCCAATTTGGAGGTTTGGTTTCATTTTTTGAGTTTCCTACTTTTAGAAATATCAAGTGAAAAACTGTTCAGTTTTGAACACTCAAAGCAAAGCCCTTGCAATTTGTCCTGCCAAGAATCCATGCACCACAGGATGTTCCCAAGTGCCTGAATCATGCACAGGTGAGGTTGATCTGCAGATCAAAGATTTCCCCCCAGAAGTGTCTTTTTTTTAACTGCTTTGAGTTGGGGACAATTTTATTTGTTCAGAAATTTTCCATCACACAGGCCCCCAAGTCAATCTTCCTTGAAAAGTAATCTCGTTAGCATCAGGAATTTTTCAACAAATCCACGATGCATATTGTGCACGTACCACACACAACAGCTTTATTATTGACACCGACATCAAGGGTATCCACACGGCACGTTCGATTACTTTCCTGGCGCTTACCCGTGGTGTTGTTGCAGATTTCGATGGGCATACGCCATCTGTGTTTTAACAATGTATGATCTCAGGTTGCCCGAGCACCCAGCCCTCGCAGCGCAAGAAGTCATGCGAGTGTCAGATTCAATGCAGTTGCGCTTGCACGAGTAAGCACGCGGGAAGTGATCGAACGGGCTGAAAATGAATCGACACCAATCGACTTTGTTTCACGTTTTTCAACTCTTTTAATTGATCCCTTAGGTGCATTTCCAAGATGTGTTACATTCCATAGAGTTCAGTGCGGACACAACTTGGACGAATACGTTTAATGTCTGTCTGCATATATTTTTCATTTTGATACTTACTCTGACCATGGTCAATTTAAACTTGGCCTCAAAGGAGAGTTGGTTTACCGCTCGCTGAAACATGCTTGTTGGTCCAGTTTTGCTAATCATGTAAATCCGTCCATTCCTTTCTAATTCCTTGGATCTTTTTTTTTAACCAACACGATATGAGACCAAGACTCTTGAATCCTCAAAATAAATAGGGGTTTGTTTGTGCCTCTGCTTTCAAGGGGCATTAGTCACCATTTTAAAAACAATATGTCTTTTTCAATTTTGTGTAACGAGGCAGCTTGACTCTTAAATACGAGATTGACGAAAGCATTCCCTGCCTCGGTAGCTGCAATTTCTTCAAATCGGGAACAGTATCACAACTTTCCGCAACAAGAAAGTCAAACTTAAAATAACATTTTGTGCTTTCTACCACCCATCTTAGAACACTCTGAACAGTTGATATTAAAATTTATAGTACAATAAAACGATTGTCACTGTAAGCATTGTATTTTCCTCCTGACGTATCTGACATTTCAAAATGACAGTGGAACTATTCCCTTGTTTTGGAAGGGGCAGCCTTCATTTCAGGATTTTTTACAAGAATTTATAAAGAAGTAAAAATGATTGTCATTTGAAGCAATAAATATAACCATCAAAGCACAAAAAATGGGAGCATTGTTGAAATTTGTCACATCAGGTGTCTCAACAGGTTTCATAGGCATATTTTGGTTTTGTTTGTCAGGTATTCGGAAAGATTTCAAAGGGTAAAGATTGAGTTTTTGTGCCTGGCGCAAAAGTGAACAGGAATGGAAAACAGTGACGTCGGATCAAAAGTTGGATTCGCAAAAGTTAAACACACTTCAACTTAAGCAAATCTTAACGCAAATGTTTCTTAACGTCAAATTCACTTCACTTCGCTTTCATCTCAACGTCGATGGCCTCCTCCAAAATTTGTAGATGACTGACCATCCCATTGCCAATGGATTTTGACTGAAATTCACAGACAAAAACACGTCTGACATGTCATCCAATTTAGCAAAAGCCCAGATTGATATTCAAACATACCCCGAGCAAAACATGTAAACTAGATAAGTTTGTGGGAGCACCATGGATATATCTCTTTGAGTATGTGGGGTTCTGAAAAGAACCGTGGCCCTCAACGTTTCAGACAGTATGCTCTGTCCGTCGTCAGGAGACTGCAGAGGGTCCAGTGATGAGGCAGCTCATGTGGTGTGTAGAGGACAGTGAGGTGTGAAGAGGCTAACTCTGGATCCAACCGGTGGCTCGGGTCATCTCCAAGCCACCGGTCTCCTGACGACGGACAGAGCATACTGTCCAAAATGTTGAGTGCCACCGGTTCTTTTCAGAACCCCACATACTCAAAGAGATACCTCCACGGTGCTACCATAAACCTATCCAGTTTACTTGCTACCTCCACCATGAAAAGCTTCTAATCTCATCAAAACATGTTAACATATAAACTTCTTTAACCTAGAAATCAAAGGCCTTGTGCTAACAATCTTAACAAAGCTAGAAATAGAATAACCTTGTGAGGTAAAAGATTTAAATCCAATTACATGTATGAGAGCAAATATAATTCTTGATTTCAGTGCTATTTACAAAATATCTCAGATATATACACATTAAACCTTGCACATTTTGAATTAAACCACACAAAAATTAAATCACATGCAGCTTTGGAAATATAAATATTGGGAGAATATTTTGGTGCTATTCAAGATGATACTAGAGCCCAAAAGCGGTCAAAATTTATATATCGGTCGAAATTCCACATTGTGCAGTCAAACCCCCCCCTCCTTCAGAACCAGATCCAGCCATGCCCATCACTCTCCCTAACATTCCTCCTGGCACTTCTCAGCTGACACCGAAACTTGGTCCTTTTTCATCACATTTCAGAATTTTGAATAGTAAATCATTTCTCAATAGAATTTCCGAAATATTAATAAATTATGATTTGGCATTCATTCCATTGCACACTTTTTCAACTGTTCAAATTTCAATATAATTATAATTGGAATTTGGATAGATGCTAAATTTCTACATAGAGAACCGTTTAACTTCCTTAAGTGCTACCTTTGGCATTCATTAAGACAAGATAAAGTCCAGACGAAAGGGTCAAGGTGAATGGTGTTTTCAATTGATGGCTCACACCTTGCTTTTTGTCGGCACATTCCAACCTTAAAAGAGGCGGAGATGGTGTCCCCCCCCCTGGATTGTCTCCAAAAACATCGCAATGCATTTTTCATTTTGGTGCAAGTCAAGGGTTTTTCCCTACTGATGTCTTGAGGTCATTTTGACACCAATTTTATGAGAAACCAGATATACCAATCTTAGAAAACGCCCATTCTGTCGAGACACGTCCACCAACAATGCTAACTTTTCCCCCTAACATGCTTGATGGACGAAAAGCCAGGCACAAAGAGCTGAATTGGGTCATTTTATAACTCTGGGGTCCAATTCTGTGTGCGTCCCTGTCACATTTGACAAAGAACTTTGCAAGTTTAGAACGTAGTCTTTAATTTCTGTGAATGATCAATTAAGCAACACAAACCACTTGCAAAACAAACGCAGCTGAAAGTCAATTTCAATGATACTTCCATGTCAATTTCCACAGGTCGGGGCACCATGGACACCAAAAATGTCACACTTTTGGGCCCCAAATTCATAGAATGACCCAATTCTAACTGGCAGGAAGGACAAAACGGCACACTGGACTGAACGGAAACTTCACAGACCTACGGATGATGGGTTCTGCTTGAATACACCAATGGAGATACCACGGCGTTTCCAAGCATGCGCGTTGACAGAATCCCCCAAAATGGTGATAAATTATTAGCTTAAATGCTAGATCTACATCACGTGCAGCTTTTTACAAAAAGAGTGAAATCTTGCAGTACCGAGTCTGATTGTACGTCATACGAATTGTCATATGAAAACAAGAGATATTAAGTGCACGTTAGCAAACAATGAAAAATTCAAAAATGTAAAATAATGATCGCTTGGATTTTTCTTTGCTTAAATATGGCAGGAACTTAACAAAAGTGGCATGCCTAAAAAAAAAATGGAAGCCACAAATTTTCTTTGGAAGCACAAGTGAATGGAAGATCACAATTTGACCAGCATAGTCAAGCCAGAGAATTTATGGAAAATGACCAGATTAGTCAAAACACTAGTACTAGCGAAAAACAAAATTACTACTTAAAATATTCAGAAGCAGAAATCGTTCACAGTGGTGGACATTTTCAATGGACACCCATATGTATCTATCACCAGTATGCAACAAGACTATGTCTTGCTACAGTGGAGAGATTCACTGGCCAACACTTGAGGCCAACAGTGCAGGCCAACACCAAGTTACAGTGGCCACCTTTTCCTCAAGGCCACCTCTTCACTGTGGCCAATGAGTTGATTTTCCCATCATACAAGTATTCCTCATTCGTGTTAGTCCATGTCTTATACTCACGGACTGTCTTCGACTGCTTTTTAGAACTACCCTGGCTATTTTTTGGAAGTCACAACATGGTCATATATATTTGACCAGTGTTCACTACAGCAACAACATGATAAGAACTGGCTACCAACTGGCTTAGAGAACGTTAACTGGCCAATCGTAACGAACGTTGCTCACCGCAATCAACAGCGTCTCTCATGGCAATATCCAAAAGATCAACTTTCCTCAGCAACAGAGGCCACCAAATCTTCATTTGGTCCGGGAAACAAATAAACCAAAAATGATCCTCTCAACTAATCTGTAAGCAGTAATCCAGTAAGCAGAATTTCAAAGGCCAAAGTTTCAGCTTAACACACTGTGTTCTTGCTTCTTGCCTCTTATGTAGAGCTGAAACCATTTTTTCTGTTCAGCTGCTGAGGATCATAGCTCATGATTTCAAATATCCGCCGCTTTCCACCAAAGTGACTGGCATCAGAAACCTTAAACCTCGCCAGCCACGTGACACAGACATCCAAGTCTAACAGTAAAATTTCAAAGCAGTAGGTTTACACCCAGAAAAAAATATAAATACATATTTTCTCATATACATATATATATAACTGTAAAACAAATTCAAAATACGCACACACCGATATAAACGCCGTCAAACATGGAACAAGGCTGCAAACTTTGAGAACTGCAGTAAATCATTTCTTGCTCAAATATGCATAATTGTAATTTTAGCTAAAAATGTCTGTTCTCGTCCCACATCCTTCAGATAAATACACCGATAGATCAAACAAGTTACTCTTAAAAACACCTGGCAGTTTTTTTGTTTATAATTTCTTTTATACAAGCATTGCAAATATAAGGAATGGTTAGTATGAAAACTGTCAAAATAACCCTCAAAGTCCCAAATATATGTAATAAAAACAATTCATTTGAATGTTTCTTTTAAAAGATGGAGATTTTGGCTCCAAAAATGCCCACCGCAAAGCCTTATTGGTATTTTGTAAAATCTATCCGGTGTGACAAAAACTCTCTACAAGTGTTGGTGATGTAGTCCAGACAAAACACCAGTCACAAGACCAGTCACAAGATCAGTTTCAAGACCAGTCACAAGACCAGTCACAAGATCAGTCTCAAGATCAGTCTCAAGACCAGTCACAAGTAACGGGGTGACCAGTGGCACAGGAACACTGTTGTTGCAGTAAAGACGTCAGGCTTGAAAAACAAATAACTTCAGACTTGACATGGGGAAAAACTACCCCGTGACTTAAAAGTAACTGGCAAGACATCTCGACTACAACACTGGGGTATAATTGAAGTGACCCTCAATAACAAACACTACCCAAACCCTTTCCGAGTCTTTGGTGATGATGTCTTCCGTTACTTACAACATCCCTTTTCTGCTGGCTCATCTGAGAGGTTGAGGGCTTTCTCGATGTCTTCGTCCTCTCGTTCTTGAAGGATGCTGGCCATGGTGTGGAAGGCTTCTTTCACGTTCTGTCCGCTCTTGGCGCTGGTCTCGTAGAAAAGGCATCCGTAGGACTGAGAAAAGAAAAGGGACGACAAATTGGGTGTTGCCTCATCATTTTTTGGCACGGTTAATGACAGCTTGATGTGAAATGTGTTCGACTGTTGAGAATTCGCAGGACGAATATTTGATATGATGCTACGATGTTGCTCTCGCTTTTCCACCAAGCATGAAACAGCCTGAAGGTTGGGCATACCACTGCCTTCTACTTTTGGGACTTGGATTAAAATTCTGTCGGCCGAAAGTACTATTCAGGACTGCCCAATTCGTATTTTTAATACTTTTTCAGTCAAGACCTCATTTGCTGAGCATATTGTTTTTGGTTGAAAAAAAATGAACCTTCACAAAGCTTTTACAGGGAAACAGGCAACTATGACCCTTTCACTGGTCAAATATGAAACTATGACCCCCTTCACTGGTCAATATAAAACTATGACCCCCTTCACCGGTCAAATATGAAACTATGACCCCCTTCACCGGTCAATATAAAACTATGACCCCCTTCACTGGTCAATATAAAACTATGACCCCCTTCACTGGTCAATATAAAACTATGACCCCCTTCACCGGTCAAATATGAAACTATGACCCAGTTCACCAGGCAGACTAAAACTATTTCCCCACCTCAGCCAGGCTTTTCCCGACATCTTCCTTGATTTGTCTATTGCCTGATTCTCCTTCCTCTGACATGTCGGTCTTGTTCCCCACCATCATTCGTACCACACTCTCACTCGTCGATTCCTGGAAGAAGATAATTCCAGGTCAAGAAACGGTTTGTCTTTCCACAACCTCTCAAAATGAGAACCATATATTTTGCAGCCTGTTTTTTAAATTTAATACTTCTGTTGTTAAGCATCTTGGTATTTTTAAAACTCCACAAAGTTTCTTTGAAGAGATACATCAGAGCATCAGGAAAAATGCGGAAACTCCATGCTGGGAAAGACTTTCAGGGTTTTTCAAATTACAGTGGCATAAATGGAAGTGGTCCAAGAAATTTTGTTACAGTCAGAAAGAGCAATCTCAGCTCTTTATTTTATCTCATCACTCAGTTTGGCCTCCAGATGAAAGTGACATTTACAAGGTGAAAAAGATTGTGGAATTTACGTCGTGCATGATTCTTTTCCAAATCTAGGACCTAAAACTGATGTTACGATCCAGTCATGCCCCCGAAAAGGTACGTGTGGAATTCATGCATGTTTTAAAAACCTATAAAAGACTCCGTAGCCATTGATTTCGCTCTCAGTGCCTATATGCCCTTAGCATGTGCATTCCAGAATAGTCATCATTGGGTCAGCACCCCCGTGTCGTCTTCTCCCTTTCATCACCGGTCCGTGTCCAAGGCCGACACCGCTGTGGGACCGTAGACCCTTGGGGTGTCGTAGCTCCATGCAGAAGCCGAATCTCGGGGATTGGCACCGACCTACCTATCTGAGCTGGGCTGTTCTGGCGTAGGGTGTGGAGGTGCTTGGCCCGATGACTGAGCTCTTTTAGCCATGGAACTGACTGGGCCGGGCTTCATTTTGTCTTTCTTGTGTTGGCTCCATAAGGTAATTATGCTCGGCCGAATAGAATTTGCCTCTAAGTCCATTAACATGTTTTTGCTGGCTTGCTAATTTTCTTTGTGTGATTGTGATTGGCCGTGCTAATGTACTTTTGACTCATTTTGTTACATCTGGAAATTAATACAGAACTCAGCTGACTCAAAGAAAGGTCAGGTGACCCGTCTTCCATGAGGGACTCACCACCACACTGTTCATCCAGTTGCGGACGTTGATGAAGGAGTTCTCTGAGTTGACGTCGTACATGATGATGATGCCGTCGGCCTTGCGGAAGTAGTGCCGGGTGATGCTGCGGAAGCGTTCCTGGCCGGCCGTGTCCCAGAGCTGAAGGGCCACCAGGGAGTCATTGATGGCCAGCGTCTTGACCTGGAAGTCAACCCCTGAGAGAGAGCAGACAAACAAAATACTCGTATCTCTTTCCAGGGGGGGGGTTGTATTTTCGATGATTTTATCCACTCTGAGCAGGAACAAGAGAGGGTGGATTTCAGATAGAAACGAGGGTCCTTTTGTGGCGATTCGCCGCACAGGCGTCCAGGTTTATGTGCATTTGGCACGGGGCGCCCTGAGTCCGCGTAGCCAATTTACGTTGCAATGCCATGCAATGACCAAATAGTGTTAACACAGTCACCAGATTCATCCATAGAAAGCAGCAGTGACTTGACTCTTCCACAGTTACCATGATTACACAATAATTAACTCACCGATAGTTGCACTGAATGACGGCCTGAAGTCATCGTGACAAAACCGGTGAATGAAACTGGTCTTGCCAACCCCTGAATCGCCAACGAAAACCACCTTGAAGAGTCTCTCTGGACCTTTAGGGCTAGCAGCCATCTAGAAGCAAGGAATTCTACTTATTTTTTTGCCGACACCATTTCAGTGTATCAGATTTATAAGATAAGATAGTGGTATTCGTCAACACCACCGCCACAGCATTGACAGAGTGGTCCAGACTAGTGTTGTCTTTCGACTAAAGAAACAATGTGATGTCAACAAACTTACTGACACTTTTGTTTGTTTAGTGTTAAATTCGACAAGGTACTGAAAATATCTAAGGTTTTTGCAAAAAAAAGTAAATTTTGGCTGGAAGTTGAATACTCAGAAACATGCGCATACATGTCACTATTGTTTCTCCTGTGTTTTGTGTTGTGTCTGGTCTTGTGATTGGTCTTGAGACTGGTCTTGTGTCTGGTCTTGTGTCTGGTCATGTGTCTGGTCTTGTGTTTATCCTGTGACTGGTCTTGAGACTGGTCTTGTGTCTGGTCNGGTCTTGTGACTGGTCTTGTGACTGGTCTTGTGACTGGTCTTGAGACTGGTCTTGTGTCTGGTCTTGAGACTGGTCTTGTGACTGGTCTTGTGTCTGGTCTTGTGACTGGTCTTGAGACTGGTCTTGTGTCTGGTCTTGTGACTGGTCTTGAGACTGGTCTTGTGACTGGTCTTGTGTCTGGCCTTGTAACTGCTCCGCTGACTAGTCTGGTATCTACTGTAGTCTTATGACCAGTCTTGTCACAAATCACTGATGAGGACACAACTCACCCTGGTTGCCTCTGTCATGGTTTGATTAGCCGAGTGACATCCCACAGGCTCTTCTCTAAGCCCGCTGGGCTTGTAAGCGACGCCAACGCCATTCTCTGCTGAGTTGGGAGCGCCCAACTTATTTTCTGGGCTTTAGAAAGCGAAAACAAAATGTTACCTTTAAAAAAGATCCTGGTCAGATCAAAATTTCAGACCTTCCAAAAAAGCGAAGAGTGAAATTCAGTGAGAGCAGTGTTTTGTTAGCCGTTTTAAAAATGTTGTGAATAGTCACAACAGTTCGTCGTTACGTGCTAGTGACCCCTCCAGTAGCATATACAGGTTTTAAGCTGGGACAAGGATCTATTTCTTGACGCAACTTTTTTTTTTCACGTATGAGAGAAGGCTTTCCTTTCATTCAAAAGAAAAGGCTGTTCGCATGTACGTTTCTACGTTCATTAAAGAAAAAAATAATTTGCGAAATGTCCCAGGGGGATCAAACTGCCCTGCTCCCCCTCCCCAAAAATGCACTATTGAATTCCCCTTGCAAGAATTCCAGATTTGGAGAGTACTCACGCTGAGGAGTAAACATTCTGGGCACTCTGTTTAATGATCCCCCCGTCCATCTCATCAACGCCCCCCTCGGTCCTTTCTTTTCTCCACTGGTGGCCCAGCGCCAGGTCCATGCGTTCCCCTTCGACTCCGTCGGCTGGTAGCCCTCCGTTGATCACCCCGTGAAGCGGCGTGCCGTGGCCATTGAGGTACACATCGTCGTCAACCTCGACTTCATCCTCCTCGTCGATGATGTAGCCTTCCTCCTCGTCTACCCCGTCCTGCCGTGACTGCCCCTTGATTCTATCCCTGCAGGCGGCCACAAGGTTCGGACGGTGTCAAATCCCGACAAAAACTTGAGAGTGACTCCAGTTAAAGTGGTCAAGGGAGACACAATGCATGCAATTTGTCACAATATTTCCAGGAATCGTTTTGTAAGTATTGCTTTCTTATCGTGACATGCAAGAATAACAAATGTAAGCAGGGACTATCTCTGATTTCTGAATTTTATCAGGGACGAGCATCTTTAATTGCCGCTGAATTACAAACACAGCAACAACTCGGTTCTACCGAAGGCATGTAAAGAGTGCCTCAGGCAGCTGGCAAATGACCCGTTATCTTCTCATGGAGTGCATTCCGTCAGACATCCGAAGTGTTGACTTTTGTGGAGAGAACCAATGAACAACTCCCAGGCCGGGAATCGAACCCGAGACCACAGAGGTTAGAGGCGAATGCTTTATGTACATGTACTTTATCTACAGTCACCAATGACCAGTTCCAAGGCATTGTAATTTGCTAGCTGCAAAATCTCGAGAACCAAGATCAAAGCAGAGGAATTGAGTTTAAAACAACCCAGGAATTTCACAAAAAACTCTTCAGCGAATTTCTGTGTTTTCTCTATCACCTTGTTAAGAGTCTTTTGTGTGTAATTCTGTTTAGCTATTTCTCAAGTCGAATGCAATGATAATCATAAAGTGTTCAACGGAGCCATAATCAAGACAGATGGCTGAGATACGACTTTTGATACTGATTAGCTTTTGCCGAGGTGAGGTCGTGAAGTCTTGGTTTGTGGAAAGAGAAAGTCGATTTCTGAACTTTAACAATCGCATTCAGTTGTTCTCCCTTGACCACTCAAAATGGGAGTGTTCAAAGTGTTCAACGGAGCCATAATCAAGACAGATGGCTGAGATACGACTTTTGATACTGATTAGCTTTTGCCGAGGTGAGGTCGTGAAGTCTTGGTTTGTGGAAAGAGAAAGTCGATTTCTGAACTTTAACAATCGCATTCAGTTGTTCTCCCTTGACCACTCAAAATGGGAACAAATGTTACATCGAGGTGAATGACAGAGTACAGTATCAAATGCAGGCATGCAAGCTGGCAACAAACTTAATTTATACTGGACGAGGAAAACAGATTTGCAAAACATAAAAAGAAAAAAAAAAGGCATACAAATGTTTCTGACAAATCAAAGTGTAGCCAGAAGGCACAATAAACAATACCTTTTTCTGCTATGGCCTACAGCTTGGTAAATTATCAAGGTTAATAAGGAACCTTTGCAAATAGTGAGACCCAATATGTTTCAAGATGTTCACTGCGTTGGGGAGATGTTACTTTTAATTACAGGTTTTGTCTCACCCGAGTAAGCTTGTGAATTTTTCATGAACTCTCGGACAAACACTAAGTATGCAGTGTTCATGAATATACATCACTGTGGGGCAAAACCTGTCATTAAATTAACCCAATATGACAATCTGGATTCAAAGGGAAGTTAGGCTCTGAAAGTGATCACATATGTGTCTAAGATTTCTGAAACAAATGTTAACGACAAAACAACAGATCAGGAGGAATAAGAAATCAAAATCAGTTAAACTCAACAGCAGATTTTCTGGTTCACTTAAATGTACATGTACCCTACGGGAATAAGATTCAGGTCAGCTCATCTGAGAGAAATGTCAACTTCTACGACAGATAAGAATGAGAGAAATTAGACAACACAATCGGTTGATAAGAATAATTCAATCCGATGAGAAAACTGTTCAAAACTTCACAATTTTTTTTCGGGACGACCACTGGGATTTCACAGACAGTGACTGGCACGACATGTACATCCACAAAGTCAATGGTCAAAATCACAAGATCAAAATTTGGTTTAAAAATTCTGACTCGGATAACAGTCATGCAAACACTAAAGTGCGAAAAGATACTATCAAACTTTGTGCGACACTTTAGATTCACAAGTAACATAATTACACTCAGGAATATGAATTGACATGAAGATACATCTTAAGGCTTTATGATTTGTGAGCGAAGCTGTTGGTTTATGGTAAGTTTCCAAGAAGGCTTGAAATGACAATTCCGTTTTAATGCAAACTATTTGGAGATAGGAGGATTTTGAGCAGCGCTGCAGTCGAGACCACTTCAGACCTTCACACGACCTCCAGTCTGAAGTCAAGTCACAAGCTATTCAAATGAACTGCAACAAAAGCATTCCTTTGTCATTGTTCAATCTGTTACTTGTGACTGGTCTTGTGTCTGGTCTTGTGTCTGGTCTTGTGATGGTCTCAACTACAACATGATTTTCAGTCACATGATTTTTGACGTTCAGTGTTCAAGTTACAGGGATGTGCGCTGAAACATTCTGGTACACATGAAACTGCCAACAGAAATACGCAGATTCAAAAATGCATGCGCCTCCACGGACATGGTGCGCCTCTGGAAATGTCTTCGCCCGTCATGTTAAGTCACATGAAAAACCACTATTGAAAAATTCACCTACTAGTATAACATGTCTTGGATCCAACCTCCCCCGCCCACTCATATACATGTAGACTTATCTAGATACCAGACTTAGTAGCCATGACTGCTGTGGGTACCACACTCCAATGCAAGTCCCAAGTGCTTGTTAATCACTCGCTGGTTAACACGAGTAACTTTGGCCAAAGTATGTTGCTTTTCAAAACAGGCATGATATGGCAGCCAGCTTTTGATATGTAGCCAAATGCAACAAAGACTGATCTGTAATGAACAGTGTTTGTACGACATTTTTGGGGCTTGCTCATCGAGCCAGATTTGATGCCACAACAGGTCTTGCACATCAGCCAAGCTCACATCTTTCAATTTTGCCTTGGGGCTAGGTCAAGCCCTGAGTATAATTGGACCACTACAGTCTCTGCAATCACGGTCTATGTCATCGAATATTGGGACCAATCACGTCCGTGTCAATGATTTTTGAACTTCATTACAAGAAAGGGTTATTTGTCTCGAGCAATATACAACCAGGCCTGGTTCCAAATGGTTGACTAAACAATCCAACCATCCGTCGTTTAGGTTTCGTCGTTCTAATGGTTCTGGCGAGCACAAACCTCTCAAATTTGGGTTACATTTAGAACGCCTCCCACTGGCGGTGGAAGCGGGGGGAGGGTGCCCAGCGGGGGCAATGGCCCCCCTTTTTTGACTGGAGGCATGCCCCCTCCCCTTTTCACAGGTCTATACTGGGATGAGGCTTAATGGTCTCACAATCGCCCCTCCCCTTTGAAAATCATTCCGCCACAGTTGACACTTCCTAAGTCGTTGTTAGTATCGAGCGTTAGTACTCATTGAAAAAGTAACGCTGGAACATTCCGGAAGAAAAGAAATGCAGGCACGATCGTTTTGATGAAAAAAAAATGAAAAGCATGTCAGGAAGGTCTCTGAAACATATCGCTGAAAAACGTAATGTAAAGAACCATACCAAAGTGAGAAAAGAGTGGATGCCAATGTTTACGGTTAATCTCTGGTTAGCTTTCGCTTGACAGCCCTCGTTGCAATTGTATGAATGGTCTTGGCGTCACTGCATGTATGTCCTCACACATCAATCATGAGCCAAACGGCCAGTACCAAGTTAACCACTTAACGCCGGGTAAAAAATTCCCTAGAATTACAGGCTGCTGGGCGGTGTTTTATGATTTTGATTTTGACATTCGTATTCACCATACTTTTATAGGAAAAAAATCACCCAAAAATTGCATGCCACGTAATGGGAGTCAGAAGGCAATGAAGCGTAGCCGGGAACTTTAAAAAAAAGCCATTGTATGTTTATTGTGGTGTTACATAACGGCTTGCCCTCAGCCCTGCCAGGAATGACAAACAATGGGCGGGCTGGGCGACGCGTTAGTCGGCCAGGCTGGCCTAGAGCGCTACGGTATTTCATGCCATTCTACTTCACAATAGGAGGATTACAGCCTACGGTGACTCATACATGTAGCAGTCAGTCTGGTCCCCACATGAGGCTGCCCGGCTGTGTGGATCAGTAGAATGTGGGCCATATGGGGTCAACCGGCGCTAAGTGGTTAAGTTGCCACCAATTCGTGACAGCCTCTTCTTTGTTGATTTTTCAAAGCCTGTTAACAAACTGACATGAGTTTGTTTGACACACCTTGTGTGGATCTCGAAACCAAAGAGGTCCATGCAATCAACCGGTGGGTTTAAAGACATGAGGACTTCAACAGGTCCTGACACACATTTTTAATGTTTTTCTTGTGTGGACATTCCTCTATGAAAACTCTTTTGAATTTGACATTTGTTGATGGTTTCCTCGACTGTTCTGTTCCCTTTTGCTACAAATACATGCAACCCTGATAAAAAATGCCTCTAAAACTGTTTCCCATAAAGGGGGGTATCATTGTGGAGCTGACTTTGTCCACACAAGGTTTGCCCAAACCTGTATAATGTGTATGTGGACCGCTTTCATTCATGCAGAGTCCAAACTAGGCATGCAAGTTTGGCACAACTTTTCCACTCCATGACAGTTTTAGAGGCATTTTGGGATCATGGTTATCCACAGCAAAATGAAGGAACGGTCAAGGAAACCGCCTTCAAAAATCCAGCTGGAGGAAGTGTTTACTGAGAGTGTCAAAAAATGAGTGTTTCCACCATTTTATCAACTACGGGATACCAACTGTATGCCCACATAAGGTGCGTACAACAAAGTATGGGCGATTTCACATATCTGAAATTCTTCGGCAAGCATGTTTCTGACATGTTCTGAGGACGAAATGAAAATGATATAGACTGCCGTTTTAAAATAACTTGTGGGAAATATGCAAATATATGCAAATTTGGTTGTGTTAATAAGCGTTGGACTGAGCGCACAAATAAATATATACGCAAATTAGTACATCCTGAACAACATGCAACATTCGGGAAAACGATCAAATAAAACAGGAGCATATGCATATAAATCGTATTCATCACCTGTTGCTTAAAATTTTGGACAAACTCTGGAATTGATGAACGGGGGGACGGCGCTAGAGTTTAAGGGACTTTGAGAAAAGGGGATTGTTGTCGTCTGAGCTGTTTGAAAAGAATAGAACAAAGACAAAAAGGTTGAAGCAAACAGGGAGAAACGCACAATCCTACCTCGCTAGCCTGGTGGAAAGATCTGAGCAATAAAAAACATGTATGGTCTTCAGAAAAGCACATCCAACACAAGTCAAATGTTCAACAGGGTGAGATTGACCAATGATAAAAATTGCTGAAAACAGCTGAAAAAAGGCATAAAGAAGCTAAATTGTGATAATCTCCTCTACTTTTGTACACAGCCAGTGACGATAAAAGCTGAAATTCAAAACAAAAAAAGCTGAAATCAGCTGAAAAACTGAGAAATCTCACCCGTGGTTAAACTCGTCAAAAAATGACAGAGCAATGTGCATGTAGTACTCAAACATACATGTTTCATCTTCAGGTAATGACAAAGCACCACAAAATTTGTAACTCAATATATCAATTTCAAAACTGAGTTACCAGCATGAGAGAAAAAATATTAAGAAATTGAGTAGGCCTACATGTACATCTGATACAAAGCTTTGTAGATATGATCATTCAAAGTGAATGGCCTCGTGCCTCTTAGCCCATGTGCACTGAGCATGCCAATCAGAAAGGTTCAGGGTTTTTGGCAGAGCTGTCTCACAAACATGACAAACATGGGCATTTTGCGAGAAGGGTATGTCAGATGTTCACCAACTGGAATCAAAATGATCATAGGTGTTACGAAAACCACTCCTTAAGGAAGAACACTCCTTCAGACATGTGAAAAAACCACAATGCAACATTTTGGGAAAACAAAATGTTAAGGTTTGCTTTTAGGGGTAAGTACATGTATTGTTGCTTGGGCAGGTACATGTATGTGTATCCACCGCATTAATTAAGCTAATGCTGTCATTTTCTAAAAGCTTTGACTTGAAGGAAAAGGTCACTGCCATTGCCCCAAGATTTTGTTTTTGGTTGATTATAAAAAAAGCTTCCTGTAGCTATTAACCCAGATGCTATTTTTTCTGTATGGAGGGCTGAATAAGCCTTATGCAAGTCAATATGAATAAAATCTGGTACACTGACTCATCTGATTGAACATACATGTAAATATAACAATTTGAATTTCCCAGACTAACGGCACTGTTGCCATACCTTGTGATTCAGAGCAAGCTTTTGCATAGCGAGCACCATCTCTGGAAGGGACTGGGTCCTTAGTGCCCTTCTCATCCATTAAAAACAGTGTATTGGTGGTCTCTTATGTAACTAAGCAAAAGCTAGCCCTGACTCCCTGCCAATTTCATAGAGCTGCTTAAGCACAGAATTTGCTTAAGCACGAAAAAACTTTGCTTAATAAACAAAGGTTATCAGCTCAAACTCTATGTGATTGTCATGCTAACCAAAAGACAGGCACATGTAATATCATTCCAAAACAATCTACATCACAAGAAGTTTTGGCTGGTAACCTGATTTGTCAAGCAAGGTTTTTTCACTTCTAAACATAGCAGTGCTATGAAATTGGCCCAGGGCCTGTGTAGGCAATGGTGTCTTCAGCACGGAGAATTCAAATTCTTATGTTCACGTGAATTTAAAGAATGCCATGTACCATATTTCATTCAAATTTTAAGTTGCAAAGGCTCATTCATGTCATTGGTAGTGCCAACTTTGCAGGTGTTCTTGTCCAGCCCATCGCAAGTCCAGTGAAATGCCATTTTTCACCAGACCAATCACTATAGTAACAGGGCAAACAATGCCAAAGGAATGCTTTGGTCATAGTTCATTTGAATATGAATAGCTTCTGACTTGGCTTACGACCAGGTGATTGGTGGTAGACTACAGGGGACTTGCGATGGCCTCGACCACAACGATAATAATTTGACAGGAAAGATCTTTTTAAAAATGAGTATTTCACAGTTTAAGCCCAAGAGTCATTGCTTAATACCTAGTTGACATAAACTAATCATAAACTAAGAATCTAACACTAAAGTACGAAATGGGTATCAAATCTGACTTGGAACAAGAAGTCATTTGTAAGTATTTCACGCTTAATCTGGTGACAAGACGATGATAAATGTCCTCAACAAAATTATACCATAAAGAATTTCACGCTAATGCAGATATCGTAGCAAATAATTTGCATAGTGGTTAGGTAGCATATGTTGTTTAAATCAACATTCCCCAAAATTCTTTTTCCATGTACACATTCTTACAATTCTAAATAAGCATTAAGATCACCCCCAACAAAAATTGCATTTCAAAGCGAACGAAACTGAAACAACGTTAATGTACTAAAAGTAAAAACATTTGGACATTCTTTAAAACATCAGCGGTGGACCACATGAAAATGACCTTGACCGGCTGAGATTTCCTGTGACCGGACTTGAGAACAAAATAGATCAAAGGGCAATGAAGTCTCGTGTTAAGCTCTCAGGATTTCAATACTTACCTTGCTGGTGAGACATAGGGAGCCAAGACGGATCCTTGCTTAACCAACGGCGCATTTTGAGTTTGACTCTCGGTCTGAGCTTCTCTGGCCTACAAGAAATGAAAACAACAGGACAATGATAGATTAGAAAACTGTCGACGAATCCAGCAACGTTTCACTTGACATTCCCGGTGGCCCCCTTTAATGGCAGAAAGCCCTGACTTGATTTTCTTTTTTGCACAGTGCTAACTGCCATTAGTAAGGGCTGCTCCAAGTGACCAATGATAGCGTTCTCAGATTTGGACAGTGATGGAGTCGAGTCCATCACAAGTCCAGTCACAAGTCCTTTCGGAAGTCCAATCACAAGTCCCTCCACAGGCCAGTCACAAGTCCAATCACACGTCCCTTTACAAGGCCAGTCACAAGTCCAGTCACAAGTCCCTTTACAATGCCAGTCATAAGTAAAAGGGCGAACAATGACAAAGGAATGCTTTTGTCACAGCTCATTTGAATAGCTTGTGAATTGGCTTCAGACAGAATGACTTGTGATGGACTTGAATACAACACTGGATTTGGAGATTTTGGACTTACTCGGAGGCGAGACTCGTACTCGTCTTTCTCATCCTGGAGTTTCTTGTTCATCGTCCGTAGCAGGTTCAGCTGTTTAACCAAACTCTCTCTCTCTTCCATGATGTTCTCCGTCACTTTCAACGCAGCACTAAAGCAACAGAAAAAAACAAGTCTTCTAGTCTAAACTTTTACAAGGTTATGTGCGTACCAAGTTTCACAAGAATCTAGCTGCTCTGAACACAGGGTGTAAAAAACACCCACAAAAATATAAACCAATACACGAAACAATGATATGACAACAACAGCGTGACACTTGAACGCACATATTGGGAACAACATTGCTGATGTTCAGGCAACGCAGTGCTAAAGCAAGGAGAAAACTTTGCAAGACTATATATGTACCGAGTTTCAAGAGAATTTAGCTGCGCAGATAGTGGATTGAAAGGGAGCACAATAGAAAAATAAACCAATTCATAAAAGCAACCATGCAACAATGTCATTATGACACTTAACCCCTTCACGGCGGGATTATTTTTGATCCCGACTGCTGGGCTGTGGTATGNGTATGCGTGGTATGCACTAATCCTCACACAATGGTGCGGTAGTAGCAGTCCTCAGTAGCAAAGGGGTGAAATGCACATCTTGGGAACAAGATGTCAATGCTCAAAGGCAGGTTCCAAGCTAATACATGACACTATCTTGAAGAAAGTTATTTTTAATTTTAATTTATTCCAGTTTATTGAGCTTTCCCATCGCAGCCCAAGGGCTGAATTGAGGGCAAGTTTACAATCAGGGTATTAAAAAGAGAAGTAAAACCGTTAACAAGTAAAAAGAAGGAAAAATTAATTAAGTTGTGGAGAGAAATGGACGCTATGGGAAATATGTCGAGGGGTCCGGTTGACTTTTATGCAAGATTTTGTCTCAAAGCCTTTCACTCAAAACTGGCTCTGTCGACTTCAGACTTATTTCTTTAGATTGGGTCACGTTTTACAGTGCAAGCTTGATGTGAGCGGTGAGTTTCCAACCCATCCTTGACTTCTAAGAAACTCACTGGGCCCTGTCTCGTTTCTCTTTCTTCATGCTGACTTGGATGTCTTTGAGGTAGGTCTTCGACTCGTCTAGATCCATCAGGGAACCGTCTAACTTTGTCCTCAGTTCAAAATTGGTCTACCGAAAATGAAAACCAAATTTGGACAGTGAATGTTGGATAATAAGTAGTGACTTTTAGCGATTTTAATAATTCTACTTACTGGGTGCTACAAATGGAATAAGAGTTTGGGAGAGGAAAATCGCAAATGACTTTTAGGTTCAACAACATTTATTTCAACATTACCCTTGAAAGAGCCACAGGTAATACACTTAAATTATGACGAAGGACGAATGATCTTGACACTCAGTGAACACAAAAACAGAGGGCAACATTGAGGTACGTGGGTGAAGCTAAAAGCTTTTCTACCCCAGGTACTCCAAGTGGGATTCCGTGCAACAACGCCACTGTCACCAAAGTTTTAGATTACCGTGTCAATTGTGGCTAATTTCTTTTACACAATTATCTATGTCATCATTTGTCTTGTCTAGTTTGTGGCCACTGATGACGCCACTGCAGCTAACATCACCATGTCACTGTAACCATTTCCAGCACTCGAATTGTCAAAGTTGTGATTGCCGTGGTAGTCAATACATTTGTCTCAATCATTACTTTCGGTATCATTGCTGCTGTTGTCATTGCCACTGTCACCAATGACAATGACAGTCACCAATGACACTATCCCCAATGAGGCTGCTGTCACCAATGACACTCACCAATGACACTATCCCCAATGAGGCTGCTGTCACCAATGACAGTCACCAATGAAAGTGACAATGTTGACAATGACACTGATAGTTGGACTCCTTGTCATTTTGTTTTCTAGTCTCACCTTCTGCAACATTTCATTTTCCTGCTTGATGTCATCTTCCAGGTCGCTCAGGCTCTTCAGTTTAGTTTCCAGCTGAAATGTTGAAAATAGGAAAATGAACAAAGCTTCCTTCTCCATTTACCGGAAAGTATGAACCTCAGGGTTTGAACGGGAAAATACAAACAGCAAAATATCAAAAATGCGAGCAGTTTGTGAGTAAAAATCAATGCAACAATGCAGTTTTCTCCTTGTCATGACATCAAGGGTTCGGTTCCATGTATGGAAATTTGTAGCATAAAAACAAAATGGCAGCAAAATAAAGTTAAAATATCACAAAACTGTAACCAAGGTTAACCGATATGCAAAAGTGCACTTTCACAAACAGAGGTAGAGGAATTGCATTCCACTGACTCGTTGAGAAGCAGCGTATGACAGACCACGTACCTCAATTTGTCGCTTCGAGAGCTCCTGTAACTGCTCGTCTTTGCCTCTCATCAGCGATGTCAACTCTTCTCTCACCCTCTTCTCCTTCTCCTTTTCCTGGAAATCAGCCAAGAAAAACTCTGTCACCAGACTTCACGTCTTCTCTGACGAGACCAAGTTTCAAAAGGGGTTGGTGCCTCATGATGAATGAAAAGGTGAGAGATGTTTCAAGGAGAGGACGAGGTGATGAAACTCGACAGAAATGACAGTTTTGCTCGTAAGTGTAAAGTGATAACAAAATTCTTGACAGGATTTGTAAACTTCATAGATGCACTGATTAAGGATGTCTCTATGGACAGGCCAAGTTTCAGAAAGATTGGTTGTGGGACAGCCTACACCCCTTAGGGTGTATCTCGGAGTTACACCCCAAGCTCTGGGCCATGAAAAAATTTTCTTTCAAATGGATCATTTTGATGATAATAGGGAACATTTGAATTTAGGAGCTGGTATGTTCACGAGGCACGTTATTAAAAAAAAATCAGACTTTTCAATGAAACGTAATTGGAATTGACAAAACCAGGACAAAAAATGAACACTAACTCATTCAACGTTAAAACCTGAGGTAAACTTGTAGGTTTCAGAGAGGATATAAATACAGACAGTGATGACGACGGATGAATTTCAGGGGACAGACTTCCAGAGTTTGGAAGCAGGGTGTGAGAAAGACCGGTCTCCTCACCAGTGACTTGTGTGGGGAACAGTGAGCTCACTGGAGGGTGAAGTGAACGTTTGAGTACAAACCTCGTGAAGAATCCTCTCTCGTTCGGCTCTGATCTGCAGTTCCATCTCCTCATACAATCTCTTCACCTCCAACTCATGAGCCGTGCCTCGTCTACCAAACAAAAAACAAAATATCATGAATTCGGCCGAGCAAAAAAATGACAGGATTTCTCATCTCCCGGCCAATTATCTTATCTCATTTTCCAGTTAAAACTAAAAACTGAAAGGTACATTTTGTTCCATAAACTTCTGACAGCAGGATGGAATAACAGCTTCGCAAAGAACATAACGTGCCATACTGTCTCACTCCGACTACAGCTTACCTACCTACTTGTTTCAAATGCTTTTGAGTGTTTAAATGTTAACAGAAATTTATAACCACCGGGGAACACTGCTAATGTAACTGGTCCCTTTGCCGTGTTTTGTGTCTAAACTCTACAACACAAGTGACAAACCAACTATAAGGGACTGATCCTTACGTTTTAAGAGCGTTTTCCAATTCGCCCGTCGTCAGCTGCGCCTTGCGCATATCCATGCACACTCTCTGGATGAAATCCTCTAAGTTCCCCAGCAGTTCCGGCTCATTCTTGCGCAGGTTCTTCCAGAGATCCTTGACATGATCTTGCCTGCAGAACGTCCAAAGAAATACAAGGCCGGGCCAAACAGGATTTCAAATTAAACTTAGAATGTAGAATCATGTACTGTACATTTTACAAACTTGCTCCTTACATGTACGTAGTATAGCATCTATAGACATGATAGAGGCTTTCCACAGTAGCCATCCTGCAGGGCAGTTCTTCTGTTCCACAGGTAAACCTCCTTTGTGCATACCCTGTGGAACAAAAGCACTGAACTCCAAGATGGCAGCCATGCAAAGCCTCCAAGATCATTTTCTTATTGGTCCAGCACGGTCCTCTAAGGAGACAGATCTTACAGTGTTACTGCCCCGGAAAAAAATGTGACTGGCAGTTAGTAATATTGCTAAAGAATAATTAAGTAAGTGTCCAACTATCTCACACAGCTATTAAACCGCACAATATAATGTATACTGTAAAAACTGGACCCTCTTTGGGATTAATGTTCTTTTTGAACATAGATGTACAATTTGACGCCAAGCTACAGAAGGGTGACATTTCCGCAGACTTTGCAATTGGTTCCCCGTTACAAATGAGCCCCAAGCACGGGACCAAAAGAGGGCACAATTTTCCCAGCAACAGAGGCTCCTGTGGTAGGAGCTGCACTGCGCTGGTTTGCATCTTTTTTTAACTGATGAGAGGGTGCTTCTGCTCAGGGCGGACCGTTTATGCGAAGGTTTGTGATAGGTTTATGCAAAAACATGAATATGCAGCACAGCAGATTTCACTCTGCACAGGTCGTGTTCCTTACTCCTCAAAAATTCCTGTTGCCCCAAGGGAATCCATCACTTTGTGGTAGTCGTTCTCTAGGGCGTCGTCATCAAGTTTCTCATCTTCAAAGACGTCTTTCTCTGCCTTGTCGCTCTCATCCTCGATGTCGGGGTCAAGGTTCAAACCGAGGAAACCTCCTGTAGGTTGGAACCACCGCTAATCAATAAACCATGATTTATAATAGCTGATTGTTTGCACAGAGAAATGTTCTGCGGTTCTGAGTTTGAAGAGAACATTTTGTAACTACATTGTACATAGATGTGTAAACCAAAGGTGTGTATTTTCCATTTACATACCCCTGTACAAGTCAGGAGCAATGCAATTGTGAATGCACAATTTTAGCCAAAGAAGTCTGGCCACTTATTTTAACAAACTGAAAAAAAAATCAGATATATGTGGGTGGTCTGTTAGCAATGTTAGATGTGACCTGGAGCCCAATTTCATGGCGCTACTTAGCCCACAATTTCACGCTTACAGAGGCTCTACATACGGAGACCATAAGCAGTAAAGCACAGTCAAAGGCATGCTTACGTCGGTGGAAAAATTGGCTTATAAAAACTTAGTGACGTTTAAGCAAATCTGTATGTGTGCAAAACCATTAGCACATCCACACAGAGCACTGCCATGAAATAGTGCTTAAGACTAACAATTTTTTCTGCTGTGACTTTTCTGCTAACTGTAACTATAAGCAGCTCTGTGAAATTTGACCAGGATCCCACAAAATGAGTCTAAAGACCATGTTTAAGTCATTTTATTCCAATCTGCATTCAAAAGAGTGTAGTGAGCTCTTTGTTTTGATGTATTTTTTAATCCCAGCATCTGAAGAAAATGTTCCTTGACGTGGGTGAAAAATCTTGAAGGATTGATTCCAACTGTGGAAGAATTTTATTGAAAGGCCTTTAACTCAGACACAGCTCTGGAAACCAACAGGTACATGCACATGCAGGACTCGGTTTTTTTCCAGTTGGGTCACAGTTTGAACTACATGTAACTGCATGCTGTACACACAACTGAAAGCATAAATGAACACAAATGATAGCGAAAGATCACGGTAACAGATCTTGATTCATCACCTTTAACCGTTTGATCAAACAAACACCACAGTCACAGAAACTCACTTGAAACATTTTTACAGGTCTCTGACAAACAAAATGATAAGAAATACAGACAATGATTGTTGAGCTGCGTCACGCAACAGTCATTTTACAGGCCTCAGACACAAATCGTCACAAATGTGGCAAAACTGGAAAACGGACGCCAAATTCCTTACCAAAGCCATCGGTGAATTCTTCCAGCGTCAAGAATCCGTTTCCGTCATCGTCGAGCGAATCAAACACCTCCTCCAGCTGTTCGGGGGACAGTGGCAGCTCGCCATCTAGCCGCTGCATGTCGCGCCGACAGACGAAGCCCTTCTCTTCCTTGTCGCAGACGATAAACAGCTCCCTCGCCTTGTCGGCAATGATACGCTTCATGTCGTCGGGTGAGGGCACCATGTCGGAAGTTGCAAGTTGGGACTCCATTGTTGCAGGTTTGAAATGTTTCTTCTTGTGAACCAATCTTTACCTTAATATTCTATTTTGAAAATCTTTCCAAAACTGTTGGATTTACTCAACTTCTAAACCCGGGAACAACTTTTACAACCAGGGAATTTCTTTTCTGTCACTAGTCACTTGGAAAAGTTTTAAAAAACTTCAAAGCTTCAGTGAAACACAAAATGCCTACTCACTATTTATTTACTGCAAATATGGAATGTTCAGTTGTATCATTAATTCTCTAAAAATTAGCAGGATGCAAATTCATAAACACGTATAGTTCTGTGAACACTGAAAAATCAGTTGGAAATTACTTATGCTTTGGGAAAGAAAAATACGGAAATTTGAGCTTTTGTATTAAAAACTCCTCAGGATACAAATTGGAAGACAAATCTGGAGGAAGATAATTGTTTCAATTTTTTGCGGATAAAAACTGGCCAAAAAACCAGTTTGAGTTCTTTGTTTATTTGAGGAGGGAACAGTCTGGGTGTGTTGATAAATTGTATACGCGTAGAGATGGACAGAGATGATCTTGATCAAATATGATTTCTGATTCTTCTGTCTTAGACTGTCAAATTTGCAGAAGGCACTGTAGCATTCGCCATGTTTGCACTTCCAATTTCATATTGACGCTCAAAATGATCGCTGGACGATATTTCTGCTGGTCGTTGTGTTCACTCATCTGAAACAAAAAACCCAGCAAATTTAAAACTCTTAAATTTCAAGAACTCTGCATGCACATACATGTACATGCACGTTATACCCTGGTAAACATGAATTCCATGCGTGTACATTTCTCTGTCTAGTTTAACAACCATAAACTCTGACAATTTTGGGTCTTAAAACTGTTGGAAAACTCGGGCCTGTTGGGGCCAAAAACCTTTTCAACCTTTGAACTGAAGTCTACAATTTGGTGTACGGAAAAGAGGCGGTCAGTTTACATAATGGCATTATACATGATCACACATGATGATCACACCAGTTGGTGAAGGCAATGCATACTTGTCATGCATGTACATGTATATACATTTTCATTTTAGCGGTTCTTGACACCAGAGTGTGGTTAATCTTAATTTCAATTAGCACACAATGTGGCCCTGTGGTTATTGTACTATGTACATTGTGGCTTCCGATCATGGGGTTGGGGGTTCGAACCCAACTGGTGGCAGCATGTTGTGATCTTACTAGTGCTGGGTAACCCACTTTACTCCTACTGTACGTGTACATGTGGTAAGTACATGTATGTACGTACCGGTACATTGTACACGCCTAAACCGCTTTGCAGAAATGGAGTGGCATACATGTACATGTACCGATACATGTAGGCCTACCGGTATCTTGTCTGGACCTGGCTCAGTCCAAACACAGTTCAGACAATATGAATTACCCATTTACACAATGGACCTCAAAGTGCCCTGACAAAGTACCCCGATACCCTGACAACTGTGTACCAATACCATGCAGTCATATAACGTGCCTGTAGGTACCCGGGTACATGTACCGTACAGGTAAAGTACCGTACATACATATACCGTACATGTATAATGTACATGTACGTACATGCACACTGTACACAATATTGTACTGCACTGGACAGGTACATGTAGTCATACACAATATTGGCACATTTCCACTACATGTACAGGTACATGTACATGTCAAATCAGCCTTTGACCTTCTACAGTATGTATGTACATACATGTACATGTGCATTATCTTCACTGACCCACATTTACATGTACTGCCCAACTACCTGTTTTCGAGCGTGTTACCACAGCGCAGACAAAGCAACGTTTGCATTGCCTGGTAACGGTGAAATGTGTCAATGCCGAGAGAGCCAAGTGCTCACAGGAAAGTGGTACCACTCCACGAAAGAGGGCTCTGGCATGACCACAGCGTGATCAAAGTACACAACATGGCCAAAATCTGAACACTCAAAACCCCATGCAATTACATGTAAGTACAGGATGTGCATGTACATGTAACATTTGTGTAACAAGAAGCGTCAATTTATGTAGCGTAGGGTCAAACTGAGCAGTTTTGGAGTAACCATGGTAACAGTTTTCAATTTGTACTGAATTTCTTTCAGAAAAAAAAAGGTCATGCTTACATACATGTTTCGATACTTCACAGGAGCAAATTTGGAATTAAATATTTGGACCTATTTTCTGTTTGGAATAGACTTTTTGTCTACTTTTCAATGTCAATATTTTCAAACTGTACTGATTTAGAGATTGACAAATTTGTGAGGGTAAATGTACTGTACATGTACCGTACATATGTACATGTGCGTGTATGCCCATGTCAAGCAATGCTAATTAATGCACCATACATATACTTGAACGCGTAGATTGTTCATGGATATGTACTTGACTATTTGAGTGAACTCATTAAACCCAATGTGACACAGCAGAATTTGCGATCTTCCAACAAAAACATGCTGGAGGTCCCCAGAACACAGACGGCCATATATGTATGTACATGTATGTATGGTAACAGAGCCTTTCCCTGTGCTGCACGGGTCCTACATGTATGGAACATTCACCCCAACCTCAGAAGTCTGGATCGGAGCTCTAGATACCTTTAAGACCAATTTACAAGCTCTTCTCTCCAAGAACGCACACTCCTCAAAACTGTCATCAAACTGAAACCCAAAAGTAAACTTTATTTCCTCTCAAACTACCAGTACCGGGTACATGTTTGTAATTGTCAGAAATTGTTATTTTGTGGGTAAAATGAAAGCTTTAAGTGTTTCTGCCTGGACCAAAAATTTCATTTGAAGTCCATGTTGCATTAGACATGTTGAAGAGATTTATTTTCAGTTTCCAAACAGAACTCACTTGTTTTCTGTCCAATGGAAGTAAAAACAATTGTGACCTACATTGTACCATCCCAAAACCAAGCTGAAGTACATGTACATGTACATGTAGGTAACTTCATAAAAATAGTGGAACGTCCACTGTTCAGATTTTCATAGGAGTTTTACATGTATCACTGCCCATAAGGAGCTTTCTGCAGAGAGAATTTTGATCCAACATGGATCACTTTAAAGTGTAAAAAAAAAAAAAAGCTGAAGAAGAGGAATTGTCCAACATCACAGATACCGACTTCAGCCTGGTTTTGGGGATGATGGGTCACAATTTCTTGCAAGATAATTCAGTTCAATTACTGAATTCAAGTCCTAAATTATCACCAAACAGTTCCTGTTCTCACTCCTCTGAAACTTCAACGTCTAAAATTGATGAAAATGATGCTACAAATCAGGAGTCAAGAGTTGATGTCTAGTAAAGTTTGCAGTTTTAGAGTCTACTTAATGTGCAGAAACAACTTCAGTTGAACTTGTGCATATGCAAGTCATTTACAAGTTAAATCTGAATAAAATCTGGTACACTAGCGCATAAATTGATTGCGCATACATGTAAATGTAACGATTTGAATTCCCATGACTAAAGACATGTTGCTACAAAGTATACATGAACAGTATGTACCTCGTGATTTGGGGCAAGCTTTTGCATAGCGACCACCATCTCTGGAATAGACTGGTTCCTTTGTGACCTTTTTATCCATTGAAAACATGGCAAATAAACATGGCAAAAGTACATCACACTCCTTAACCATGTTAACTTGTAGAAATTTTAATAATCTCAAGTCCATGGAGATAAACTGTATTTTGACTGGTGTGGTCAACTGCATTCCATTACGGAGGAATTCCTCCCAGGTTACCATGGTTACATGTACATTTATGTAATCAAGATTATTGATACACATACCCGTATCCCTGCAATGCATAATTGAATTTTGATAAAGGAATGAGGTTTCAGTTTTGAAAAGATGACATACCCGGTACCGGTCCTTATTCTGTAACTCTTTGTTTGGCACACCGTAAACCGGTACGGACGTGACCAGTATACGTGACCATAAGCGGAGATTTACCCATGTAAAATCATGTTGAAATTGGGATTGAGGACTGTGCATCTACAAACCATATGCACCTGAAAATGTAAGTCGTGCCAAAAAAAAATCAACAAAATGTACATTTTATTTGATAATAAGTTGAAGTTTAATGCTAAGGTCAAACTTAAATGAACAGTACACGGACACATGTACATGTACTGTTGGTACGTACATGTATACCCACAGTATAGTCATGATCAATGCCAATAGTTTAATATGTACATGTACATGTATACTGCCATAATTTCCATGTACATGTTCATGTACATGTACCTCGCACATCATGCATTGCTGAGCAGGCAGCTGGATGTGATGCACCGTACTCAATCGATAATTCTAATCTTCAATCAAGGTTTGTCAGAAATGAAAAACCTCGGTGCAACTGTTGCGCATTGTTTCCTGGACACTGACCACTGGCGCTCGGCCTACCAATTATGCAAATTTAATAAAGACGGCTCTGGACCAATCAGGGTTGCCGCTACAACAGTCCACACAGGTGCCAGATCAAATGCCCACAGAAAAATTGTCAGCATTCACAATCTCTGGGCATGAGGTGAATTAAAGGACACACCGTGGAATTTTCAATTTTTCGACGGACGGACGGACGGCTGGGGCCTGGTGCCAATAGTTACATGTACATGTACAGTCTATGCAAATAATGTACCTACATGTAATATAACGTTATACATTCATGTACATGTACACTGTACTGTACATATGTACCGGTATATACCGGTACCCGTAATATGCAGATTAGTATGACAGCTACAGTACATGTAGTAATCTAAAATACAAGCTGGTACACTCTCATGACCTTGTGCAATATACATTTGCCCACAATTTTTTACTTACACGTATGAAAGTACATCATACAATGTACAATGTAAAATGTAGTACCTTTTGGATAAATCATTCCCTTTTGATTCAAGTTTTGATTGCATGTACATGGCTGGTTGATTTTTCTGTCTCTACTGTCTGTGTAAGGTGTTTTAATCAATTGACACAAATAATCAAAACCTACATGTACATGTATGTGTACACTTCATTGGTTCCTTATTAGTTGAGGAAACCGTTTGCATTTTGAGTTCACTTCTTTAAAATTCATCCCTTGGCCGCTCCAACGTATTTCAACTGAGAGATTTCTTTCAGTTTGTTCAATTTTTTTATTGAGAATGTTTGGAATCTTTTTGTTGAAGACACTTTGGGGCATACACATGTATCTCTTGCACCTTCTGTACAACGTTTTTATTCTAGCTGGGTTAAAAGACGGAAATTGTGGCAATTTGAATGCATCATTTCCATGATTTCTCTTCCTTTTCTTTTTTTCCTGAATGGCAGGGACTTTTTGCAGGTACATGTACATATGTGTACCCTCTTCTTCAAAAACCTTGGGAGAAGAAACTTTTCTTAGCCGTATCACCCAATGGCACGAGGAGAATTCACCAGTGGCGTAGATATACCTATGATTTTACTAGTGGGCATGGTGGGAGGCACAAGGGGTTACCAGCATCTTATGGAGGGCACCAGCTTTCATTCATCCGTTTTTTGGGGTTGGGGGGGCACCAGGAATTTTTTCAGGGGAGGGGGGCATGTGCCCCCAGGTCCCCCCGTGGCTACACCACTGGTTTTCATGTGAATGGATTCAGTTTGTAAATGGGAGCATGTGTACATGTACGCTGCAGCTCACCTCATGTGGTATGTGTACATTGTATTTTTCATGTAACATGTATGCATGTACCTTTGCATGCATCATTAAACATGTTGACATTTTTTAAAAAAAGAGACAAAAGCTTGGTAAATTATTAATTTTTGTTGATTCATCCCAAACGATTAATCCCGAATTTTTTTGTCAGTGTCGTTAGAACACAAAGATGATATCATACTGTACATGTACATGTAAGCAAAGGCTTGCATGTGGAACACAGACAGTCACACAGACAGACAGCGCAGAATGTACTTGAACAAACAAAAGAACAAACAACACGGGGAGACAAAACACAGGTTGAGAACAATACGGCCGTTTCACAATAGTGCCCCACCTAGAGTTTGCAACACGTTGGCCAATCACAATGCCCGTAATTTGTCGACCCAATGCACGTTTGGAAAGGGTTGACAAATTTTGCGCGTTATGATTGGCCAACGTGTTGCAAACTTTTGGTGGCACTTTATTGTGAAATGGCCGTATTAAAGCTTCAGCTGGTTGTAATTTATGGGGGAAACCAGTCAGACATGCATGATAATCAAGTACATGTAAATAAACTACAGAAAAGAAACAACTTGTTTGTAAATTACAGTCAAACCATAACACATCATTTTGCTTTTAACAAGGAAATCTGTAAGTTCTAATACTTTGTTCTTCACCGTTTTTGTTCCTGAAATTTTACACGTACATGTACAAGGTTACTGTTACAACAAGGTACATGTACATGTACATGTAATTTGCAACGTCCAAAAGACCTTTTATTAACGAGGTTCAACTAAAAACTTAAGCATTAATTAGGCTTGCCAGTTTGGACTACATGTACTGGCAACTTGAAACTTCAGATTTAGTTCTAGAACAAAGTTCATCTAGCCACTTGCTATTTTTCACGCAGTGTTGATGATACATGTACAGCAGTTACCTCCTCATAGGGCTGAGTTAATTCGAATAATTCCTTATTCAAATATTTGACCTTCAATTCGATCAAATATATATCTGAATATTCGGTCGCGCCAACCGGCAGATCACTGATGAAGAAAAGGCCCCATACAAAATATCTGTTGCAATAATGCACACAATTATACACTATAATCATTACAATAGCTTCTCATGTCTAAGAGTATCTCCAGCCACAATTCAGAAAAATTTAAAAGATGAACAATACTTCTTGACCTGTTGAAAATTTCTAGTCCTTTCAAATTTTTAATTACTTTTTGAATTTTGGTAAGATTTCTGTCACTTTTCACTTAAATCTTCTTGAAACAAGCCTCCATAGTGCAATTTTTCTCATTTACAACAAAAGGAAATTCTCCCAAATTCCTTTTCATGAAGTTTTTATTTAAATATTCAATTCGGAAAAGAATTATTCAAATATTTGACAATCAATCAAATAATCAGATATTCGGCACAATTAAGCCTACATGTACATGTATCTCATCACCAATTCTGCTGCAGCCAAGTTTGTGAATATTCAACATTTGGTGACAGTGGCGATCTTAGCTACATGTACATGTATGGTACCCTGTACTTGTAAAACCTTGCAGTGTGGCAATCAAGTACTTTTCGAGTTCCAAGGCTCTATGCCAAATACGGGAACCAAGCTGGAGCATCATACTTACATGTACACTGTACACTGTACGTAGGCATTTGATGATAAATGCACAAGTATTACAACATAAATACATGCAGGACTTTAGACACTCCCAGTTTTGTAAAATCTACATGTAAGTTTCAAGGAGAAAAGTACTCAGAGAGTACTCGGCCGAGTACTTTTTGAGTACTTTTGTCCAAAAAACTTAATTTTTAGTGAACAGTGATAGTCTGAAATCATCATTTTACTTTGCAATCTTACATGTACATGTAGGCCTACATGTACCTTTGTGCATGTACAGTGTACATACATACATGTACATGTAACATGTTCCAACATCAATTGCCCGTTTACATGTACATGCGTTTGAGATTTTCAGCTTTGTTCCCTCCTTGCTACTGGTAATATTCGGCCAAAAACCTGGTACTCAAAAGTACTCAACTTCAACACTGGAACCTTGAAAATGTAACAATGTTGGATGCATGTAGCTGACGGTATGTATCCATGCATGCACTCACAATTACAAATTCAAAGGAATATGACTCGGGCTAACAACAGATATCCACTCTCCAGAGTGCACCTGGGCATTGTTTACCATGTCTGCAGACAAACTTCCAATAGTGCATTGATCTTTTTCCATTTGGGGGTGCTGAGGGATTTCACGGGCCCAAGTGAAAAGAGTGTATGACTTCAATCCATTTCAATCAGCGTTCTGTGTGGCGTGCAATGCACTAAAAGCTAATGGTTATCGATGATGCCTTTTTTAGTTGGAAAATTTATCACTGCGTTGGCTGTTTTATTAGATAAAGGGTAAGGCAGGCCTAATGTGCCGGTATAGCTTTAACGTGTATTTCAGGGTGTGAATTATTTGTTTGCTTGATGTTTGAGAGCTGCTTTTGGCAATATTGAGGGTGGTTATACCACCATGACCACAGGCAAATGTGAAGAGGAAGTGAATTTGACGTCAAGAAAGACTTGCGTCCAAATTGTGCACGGGTTGAAATGTGTTCACCTTTTGTCAATTTGCAGCGTGAATACTTGATTGGATGTATTTGATTAGAGCTGGCCTCAATTTATACTGGGCAAATTCTGCATTGAAAAACCTTTAAAATCCGACAATGACGAGTACATGTACAGGTACATCAATAGTACATGTATTCTCTTTGCAAAATTACACTAGGCCAACATGTACATGTACGTACATGTATACATGCGTACTGTAGGTCAATGTGACTTCATATCTCCATTAAGTTAAGCTTCTCTTTGAAGACAAAATAAAACTCACCTATAGACGTGTTATTGGTTGGAACTTGTCAGCATCTCGTTTTCTTCACATATTGATACATCAGAAAGTCCTGAAAGGCATTCAAATAAACAGTACATGTGTACATGTATGGCACGATTCCCAGCAAACAATAACTGCACGCAATGACTGGTTTTAATTGCCATTAAAATTCTTAACACCATCCAAAACAAACTTCCCACTTCATTTGTAAACATGCATATACAATGCAGCTGTCAAAATCTCTCAAAAGGATCAAGATCTGTACTTGAGAATGAACTTCAAATTCGTACAGTGCGTGAGGCAAAGGCCTGAGAAGCACCAAAGCAATTACCTCCGATGACTCCATAAAGTTCCTGCCCTGGTAATTAATGCAGCATTTAATGCGAATATTCCATCGTATAATTACCCCTGGTGGAATGACAGTTAATGCATGTCTGAAACCATTCCAAATTTATCACCGCGATAGTCTGGCGCCATTTCATGAAAACATTTTACACTTGGTTCCTGTGTAACGTGGTCAGCGGTGCTGAACATGCCCAACTTGTCTAAAACTGGTTGACCAACATGTGGTCTAGAAGCCATGATGCTTAAAATAAACCCGACTAATTTGTTCTGAGTAACTAGCAGTTTTTTTTATTTTAACCGACAATACAGAGTACCGGGATGTACAATACACTGTAGCCAAAATGACTTTATGTGAGCAAAACCAAGTGTTTTGCAAGATCTTTCATTCAAAAAGCTAACATGTCTGCAAACAAAATGCTTTGGCACTGGGCTTTTTAATAATAGAGTTCACCCAACAGTGTCCAAAAGATGGATGGTTTGAACCATCTACATGTACATGTACATGTACAGCCGTACCAGTACATGTACAGGTACTGTACATGTACAGGTGTATGTACAGTGTAGTTGACCATTTGGAACCAGGCCCTGTGGCATGGCACATCACTGGTTATCGGTGACGATTTCATTCATTGGAGCACAAGGAACCGTTCACATGAAAACTACGGTGATTGTCTGGAGAGGTTGCTGGTCGTGAACAGTGTGAGACTTGACGCCAACCATGCCAAACTGTGAACGATGATGAGGTTTTTACAAACTAACTTGGCCCGGGTCATTTGAGGGTGACCGCACTGTGCATGTGCATAACTAATTTTACAAAAATCACCACATGTACATGTGTAGGAAACCGAGGGAGGGAAAGGGGAGGGGTGTGTGCCCCACCCCACCCTCGGAGAAAATGGACAATAATAAAATAATGAAATGAAAAAGATGGGAGAAACAGGGCTGAAAATCACCAATTTGAGTGAAAAGACGTACAGGTAACTCTGAACAGACCCCCTCTACAGTTGAGAGTACCAGTGAATTAGTTTGTTGCTGATGAGCACTTTGTTTCCCACCCCCAGCCCTGAAAGAGCTCCGCCCCCTCTCTGGCATTGATCAGGCTTTGAACTGAGTCAGTCAAACAGTTGATACGTGTTCATGTATAAAAAAAACCCAGTGGGTAAAAATGTCATCTAAACATTAAGGTGCTAGCATCAAAAAATTGTGCTGGCATTGTTGAAAAAAATTGGCCTGGTTTACATGGTTTATGGGATTGTTACAGACGAGGACTTTGGAACATCACAAACCCATTTCAAGTTCCTACAAATTGATGTTTCCCAAAATACATGTACTGCATTGTGATTCCATTCAAATGACGGCCTTGAAATGGAAAGGAAAAAAAACCACAGACATCAGCCCGCAATGTGCAAATGTCAGCTAATAAGGCAAAGGCCCAAAGAGGAACCGTTGCCAGGCAACAAAGCAGTCTTTCTCAGGCAACCGAGTCTAATTTCCTAAGAGAAGAAGACAAAAAACATGACTTTTGTTTGAACAATATAATGAGGAATTGCACTGACTGGCTTGATCACACATCCATAATTGCTTTGAAGTGGAGAATGCCAGCCATGTGAAGGCACGTACGTGTACAAGGTGCTGTGTCTATCCTATATGTACGTATCGTAGATGAAGCTGACATGGCTGAGGAGTGTTTTCACGACCCTGACTTTCGGCCTCGGTCATTGATTGCAATGGTCATTTGGGGAACTTTGGCTGAATGCCTGCATGATGTCATTGTTCAGACAGACCAAGTGAGAAGCAAAGCTTGGATCTTGCTCTTCGATTGGTCCAAAATGGAGGAAAAGAAAGACACTTTTTCAGTTGTCTCCAAATGGGTACCGGTACTTAATACATGTAATACGAATTTCAAATTGTGAGGATTGTGAATTCGGGGATTCCCCTGTTTTTACATGTACAAAGTATTACTTTTACCAATAAAGATCACCACTGAAAAAAAAATGTACCACTGCCATGGCCCTATTTGGGTCACATTTGGAGGAGTGTGTGTGCGGTCTTTGTCGCTGACGTCATTTTTACCCCATAAATTCCCTCAAAATCAAAACCCTGCCCTCTTTCACCAAAATGTCCCTGCAGTTCAGTGAACTAACGTCATTGTCATCTATTGTGTAGTTACAAATGTACATTACATGTACATGTACATGTAGGTACCGGTAAATCAGAAAGCTTAAATCTAGTTCTTTCTTTTATACAGGAAAGGGGTCCCGAAATTCCCAATCCCCAAAATATTATGGCAAAAACGTACCGGAACACGTGGCCTACCGCTTTATGCAGAGTAGCAAAGTAATTTTCAACGTAAGCCAAGTGGCCTCAGTGGCTAAGCTAATGGAAAAGACACTGGGCCGGGCTGCACAATGTACCATACG